GATTTAAATCAATTACGTGCCTCACAAATCACCCAAAAACTTGACTTGGACTCACGTGACGCCTCACCTAAGTCAAAGTCCACATGCAGATGTGTCTACTTAGGTCATCCCCAATGGGAGCCTTAAATTCAATTGAAGAATTTTTTGGGCTCTATATCATGAAACTGGCCGGAGATAATGATAAATCTGTGGACTTGTATAGGGCCTTAGAGCCCCAACGGGCACCACATTTTGAAAAACTGAATCTGCAAAAGCATGAAAAACCAACGAGCCCTACATATTGAAAAGTATTAAAAATTATTTTTTTTGTTGCAACGGTCCTTCTTTTCCCCTTATGTTTATGTTTCAATTCTTCTTCTTTTTTCACCCCTCTTTGCTTTCATTTTTTTTCTTTCATGGACATACTTCAATTGTTCTATATTTCTAGATTTAAATATGCTTCCTTTTTTTTAAGTACAAATTTGAAACATTAGGAATTTATATTTTATTGTGTTTACTTCCAAATTTGTCTTTTTAATATTTTCCAAATTTTGATTTTTTTGGGTAGAAATGCAAAAAAACAAAAAAAAAAAAAAAAAAAAAAAAAAAAACAAAATACATATACAACATAAAATAAATAAATAAAAAACAACAAAATTAATACGTAGAATAAATTACATCATAAACAAATACTTATAAACCCCGGATATGGAGCCCCCATTGTGAGAAAGATACCTTTAGAAGCCCATAATATTCCATTGGAGCTCTAAATGGAGCTCTATCCACCATATTTAGAGCCTCAACCATTGGGGATGGCCTTAGTGAAATCCTATACTTCGTATATCCGAAAAGGAATGATCCGTTAGGTTCGGGATTGATCTCTGATAATAGGTCAGATCGTACCAATCCAACAACCAGGGAGAAATTATCGAATGAGTGTGGGGTAATAATCCACAACACATGTGACAAGTCTTCTCTCTATGCCTAAACCAATTTTATTTGGACCCCAAAACTTTTCATTCTAATATGTTTTTGCATTTGAAACTATGCTCACTCGGTCATGTTTGTCCCTTTATAAATCCGTCACAATTCCCAACTCATTATGTAAAACGTTTTTCTCTCTGTAAATCCGTCATTTTTCCTGACTCATTATGTAACTCTCGTATAAAACAAGCTCCAATTTTCCTCACTGCCCCCCCACGGAAATAGAATTTGTCTCTTTTTCATTATTGCGGGAGAATCTAATTTATAATTCAGTCAAACCCTTAAAAAAAGTCAAAATATGGCACATAATATTCTTTTTTCTTAGAAAAGGGGCGTGAGAAACGCACTCAAAGAAATTCCAACTAGTCAACGCACTTGCTTCAATGCATGGGCACCTCCCCCACGTTCCCATACAGCAATACAAGTTATAAAAGAGATTTTCTATTTAAACCCCGCACTTCTCTTTGTTCACCCCAATACTTAAATCATTAAGCTATAAGTTTTATAATTGTGTAAAAAGATAAAAAAGGTCATCCAACTTAATAATTAACCCTAGTACATCTATACACACATCCCACCACTCTTCATATTAATTTTAGAAACCTCCTTCGAACTTCCTATTTACAAACTCTCTCTCTCTCTCTCTCTCTCTCTCTCTCTCTCTCTCTCTCTCTCTCTCTCTCTCTCAAGTTCTCAACTCAACAATCAAGTTCTCAACTCAAGTGTTAGAATTCCAGTTACAGTTCTTGGAGAGAGATAAAGCTGTTCTCTTTCTCTAGAAAGTATTAAATTTCGGATTTGGTGTTTGTGTTTTTTTTGCTAGAAACAAAGAAAATTGTGGGGTTTAAATAGAAAATCTCTTTTAGTTCTTATTTTTTCAGTTTGGGGTGTATTTAAGGGTAGTTTGGGGAAATAGTGGAGTTTTCTTAGAAATTGTGAAAATTTAAATTAAAAGTTGGGGTGAACTTAGAACATGGGGTGGACTAAGAGAAGTGTGGGTTTAAATAGAAAATCTCATTATAAAATTCAAAACACATGAACCAAACATCGATCTACCAAAACCTAATCCTCCCCTCCATTTTCTCCCTTTCCCCCACTCAATTCCCAACAAAATATGGCCTCTAACATTATCAAACCCAAGAAACCCATTTCCTCTTCCTAATCAAATCTTTGCACCACCCTCTTCTTCATTGTCCTCTTCACCATCCCTGCCCTTTTTCATAAAGTATAGGATGGCCCTTGTCCTTCACCAATCTACGGTCTACCAGCCACTCCAAACACCAAACTCACATTTTTCGATATGCCGATCAACGACCTAAACTCTTGGCCAAGTTTTTGATCTTCGCTAAAGTCAGCTTCATTGACACCATTAACAATCACATGGACTCTTTTATTTGGTATTTGGTACACATCCCTTAGCATCTCCCCACAGCTATCACTTATAGCAACACGATGGGCATAGTTATGGAAGAACCTTATCTCATTCAACAACTTTGGCACAACCCCTTGAATGCTTCTGTTGAAATCTGGGGAGATAGGCTCGGTGGGCTTACGTTTCAAATCTTGGAATATACCTGAGTGCAGGCTCTCTAGAGCAATCCCATGCCATGACACCGCCAGGTTTGGTAGGTTCCAGGCCAGCCAATGGGGAAGCGCCACGCTTTCGGAGTGAACCACATCGAATTTTGCACGCTAGTTTTCTTCCAAAAACTGCTTCCATGCTTTGTTGTCACGCCAGCGGCCGGGCTTGCCCTCGTGGAAGTGGATGTGTGGGGATGATGAGCTAGTGCTTCCTTGTTGAGTCTCGAGTTTGAGCTCTTGGGGGAGGACTGGGGAGGTGAACACGTGGACTTGGTGACCGAGGAGAGAGAGGGCTGTGTGTAGAGTGTGGGCATGGCGTTCCATGCCTCCTGGGACTGTGCCGATAAGGTTCTTCCATAACTACGCCCATCATGTTGCTATAAATGATAGCTGTGGGGAGATGCTAAGGGATGTGTACCAAATACCAAATAAAAGAGTCCATGTGATTGTTATGGTGTCAATGAAGCTGACTTTAGCCAATATCAAAAACTTGGCCACGAGAAATTATTATATGATACTGGAATACGTCTTATCTTAAATTATTAAAAGGTGTGTTGGCTGTCTTTGGCGTTGTTGCTTTCTTCTGGTTGGCTTTAATATGAATGCTTTCCTTTGTGCTATCTGAGCGTGGGTTGTACAGTTTTGGTCCCTGGCCTTCATGTGCGTCAGTTTTTAACGTTTTCTTTTTCTTCAAAATAAGATAATATATATCTATATAGAATGAATTAATAATTAATTAAAATGCCTACTAATTATATACCTCTCATATATCATATATAATGTAGTTGTATAACCATTCATAAAATAATAATAATAATAATAATAATAATAATAATTGGTATTTTGGCATTGTTGTAACATGTGGGTTCTTCAAAGCATCTTTTCTAGTTTATACATTTGTCGTAAGTTCTGTATAGATGAATACTGATAATTTTTTGTCCGGACTCACCAATAATAGAGGCAGAGTACATTTGCCTCTTGACCTGTTTTCTCCTGGCTTTTTCATGCTTTGTCGAATCAGCCAGGCACCTTGTCCATTCAAACTACCTGCTAAGCACTCCAGGAGCTACTTCTAAAGCTGATGTGAGAAAAGCTAAGAGATCAGTTGAAAGGGGAAGTGAATTTTGGTCACTTGGGCTTAGAGCTCTACACTTTGCTCTTAATTTTCTGCTATGGTTTTTTGGACCTGTGCCCATGTTTGTTTCGTCTGTCACAACGGTTGTGATGTTATCTTGCCACGACTTCAAGAGGTCAGATAATAATCAAAAGTGGCCTGCCTCAGCTGTGGCTGTAAATGAAAGTGAATTATTAATTTCTTGAGCCTCAAGTTTGTAGAATTGGATCAAATTTCATTGATCATAAATGCATTAACTTCCAATTTTTTTATGTGCCCTGCAACGTAGCATTTGTTTGCTTTCCTTTTTGGGTTTAATCTCAAGGTTACATGAAGTCCTGGAATTGAAAAACTTGAGGTAAAATTTCAATTGACTTGTCGTACAAGGAATCCTAACGAGGTATTATTCTAATTAGATAACGTGAATTACACCAGGAAATCAAGGATCATGAAATCCCTGAATTAGGGCTCGCACCAACAACAATTGTCTTTTGACTTAGAGCTATTGCATGTTGAGCTATTAAGAAATTCACTTTTCTTTTAGCAGTAGATTTTCCACTTCGATTTTTCTACGAATTATGACGTGGAAATAGATGTCAGGGTTCATTAATTACGACGTATGTATTTACTGAGACGACGTTGAAATGAATAAACAACGTCGGTTCCAAATAAATGAGAGCCGTATTACAGAATTTATACGTCATATTTGAAAATAAACGACGTGGGAAAAAATGATGGGGTCATTAATTACGACACAGTAATTTATAAGGACGACGTTTATATACAACGTCGGTACCATGAAAAAGACCGTCGTGTTTAATAATTTATACGTCTTCATTAAAAAATTAACGTCGACAAATTTAATGGACTTCAAATACCGTCGTGAATTCATCCTTTTCCACTTCGTTTATGAAAGAACATGCGACGTGGTAAATTCATGACGACGTCGTCTTTTGTAACGTTCAGGTTAAAGTTCTCGTCTTTTAGACGTCGGTGTTATGGGATTGGAGTCGTGTTATTTTGAATTACATGGCGGTTCTTTATGCTTGTCCGACGTGTATCCTGGATAACTGTTTCACAATAGCGTCGTGGTTCTTCATTGTTACGTTGCTTTAAGACGTCGGTAAATATATTGCGGTCGTTGAATGCTCCAAAACGTCGTTATTTATTAGAACAGACGTTTTGTTTTTCACATTTTTATCAAAACCGTCGTGTTTGTAATCTGGAACCAGTAATTTTTGTACTGATTGTTTTGTGGCCAAAACCTGTATAATGAAAGTGAAGAAATCACATTACAATATATTACAAAATTAATGTCATACACTGCCAATTACATAAAGCATCATTCAACCCATATATCTTCACACCCATCTCGAATATTTTGACTCCCTAACTCACCCACCACTTCATCAAATGTGTCAACATTTGGCATCCCCCTAGTAAATGGCTCACACTCAATTCTCACATCACCTAAGACATCATCACCAATAACATCATTATATTCTCTATTAGGCATTGATAACACTACCGACCAACCACGATGCATCGGGTCGTCAACAAAAATACTTGTTTGACTTGAGAAGCCAAAACAAATTGGTCATTCCTATGTCCAATTTTACTCAAATCTACAAGGGTAAATCCAAGTTCGTCCACTACAAGACCAGAAGTATTATCAATCCAATCACACCTAAAGACTGGGATTGTAAACTTTTGGTATCAAGGTCCCAAATTTCTTGAAGACACCATAGAAACCCTATTTGAGAGAATTGGGTTTTTATCCCTATGGCACAGCAATCTTGCATCGGGTATGATGCAAGTAAATTATAACTCACTATTTTGGAGTTGGGTGCCGCACATCATCTTGTCTTGATGTTGAATTTAAATACCTTTAATTGAGAAGCTCCTATATGATGCACTGCATGTTTGGACAGCTGCTACACCCTTATTTTTGTACCCAGATTGTTTCCTCCGCAAAATTTAATTCAATCTAGACATGAGAAAGAAGAAAATTAAAAGTCCAATATGTATTCCATAAATATACCTTGAAGCGAGCCATTGAAGAAAGTGCTATTGTGCTTATCCTGCAGCCACTTTGTTCTCTTTCTAAATTTTGGATAAGCGGTCTTGATGTGGATCATATGTTGCCTACATGACACACAAAATTCAAGTATTACGGTCCCAAACATATAAGATAAACATAAGAAATAATTTAAAATGGAAACTTAAAGAATAAACTCATACGTACTCGATATAAGGTAGGGCTTCCTCCGTATTCTCCAAGACATATAGATGTGCTTGGTTCAACAGGTCCCGATCAACTACGCTCACTGTGCAACCTGATAATGGCTTTGAAACTCCCATCTTTTGGCTTGAAGGCACTCCAACTGTACTAACATCAGATAAATGCTCGGTACAAAACTCTACAGCTTCTTCAGCTATATACCGCTCAGCAATGCAACCTTCGGGACGAGTACGATTCTGAACATACCCCTTTAGCACTTTCATATATCTTTCAAACGGATACATCCATCTAAAATATACTGGCCCACACAGACGAACTTCTCTGACAAGATGTACTACTAGATGAACCATGATATCAAAGAATGAAGGGGGAAAGTACTTCTCAAGCAAACACAAAGTAACTACTACATCTTCTTCCAACTTATCTAGCTTGGAAACATCAACAGTCTTTGCACATATAGCATTGAAGAAGAAGCACAAACGAGTTATTGCATACCTTGCAGGCTTCTCCAAAACAGAACGAATTGCCACAGGGAGCAATTGTTGCATTAAGGTATGACAATTATGTGATTTAAGGCCAAGAAGTCTTGAATCTTGTAAAGATACAAGATTTTTTATATTTGAAAAATAACCTTCAGGGACCTTCATACCATAGAAAGAATTGCAAACCTCTCTCTTCTCTGCTCTTGACAAATTCCAAGGCCCGGGAGGCAAACGAGTACGTCTTTCTCCATACTCGGGTTGCAATCAGTTTTGACCCCCATGTTCATAAATTCGAGCAGCAATCCCATCTTATTTGTTTTTTTCCAGGGATCTCCAGCAATGTGTACCAATGATACTATCGCAAACATTCTTCTCAATGTGCATAACATCTGATTAGAATTTTTTAAAAAACGACGGTGCATTAAATACCGTCGTTTTGATAATTTATTTACTTCTTAGAAAATATTCCGACGTCTAATGTGAAAACAAACGACGGTTTTAAAGAAAAATATCGACGTCTAATGTGAAAAACAAATTAAAAAGGCAAAGTTATAATAATCCCTCCTCGTCATGTTTTTCTTCATCTTGTGTTTTCTTCTTTCTTCCTTCATCATTGTTTCTTCCTTTTTTGCTTCATCTTTTTCTCTTTTGTCTTCCTTCTTCCCTTCATCTTTTTTTTTTCTTCCTCTTCTGTTTCATTCTTTATTTCTTCTTTCTTCTCTTCATCTTGATTATCTAAAGCCCCAGATTTTCGGTTTAAATAATAAAGCAATATATATATATTATACGACGAAATGTACAAGAGTAAAAAAATAAACCAAAACGTCGTTGTAAGGCATAACATAGACGGTATGTAAGAATATGGAGACGTCTTAAAAATTATTAAACGATGGTAATTAAAGTCGTGGTAATTAAATTACGTCTTAAGGACTAAAACCGTCCGTCTAAAAACCCCAAAGACGACGTCTAATGGCGTGTAAAACAGTAAACTAAACTAGACTGGTATTTAAATAAAACACGACGGTTTATTTATAAATCGTCGTGGTAGGTTTTTAAAACGACGGTTTAATCATATAACGACGTCTAATGTTACAAAAAAAAAATAAATTCAAAGTTCAGATATGTTACCGTTTCTTCCTGCTGTCCCCATTTCTGGCATTATCTCCTCTAATGTATGGATCTTCACGTCCCCCCAGAACATCTTGCTTTATCAGACATTGTAGTTTGGACTTTGCTTAGACCTTGGTTTTGACAGGGGCTAGTTTTCGGTTTAAGCATTCTTGGATCAAAATTGGGGATGAGGTGGGAAAAATTTTTTTTTTTTTTTTTTTTTTTTTTTTTTTTTTTTTTTTTTTTTTTTTTTTTTTTTTTTTTTTTTTTTTTTTTTTTTTTTTTTTTTTTTTTTTTTTTTTTTTTTTTTTTTTTTTTTTTTTTTTTTTTTTTTTTTTTTTTTTTTTTTTTTTTTTTTTTTTTTTTTTTTTTTTTTTTTTTTTTTTTTTTTTTTTTTTTTTTTTTTTTTTTTTTTTTTTTTTTTTTTTTTTTTTTTTTTTTTTTTTTTTTTTTTTTTTTTTTTTTTTTTTTTTTTTTTTTTTTTTTTTTTTTTTTTTTTTTTTTTTTTTTTTTTTTTTTTTTTTTTTTTTTTTTTTTTTTTTTTTTTTTTTTTTTTTTTTTTTTTTTTTTTTTTTTTTTTTTTTTTTTTTAACACAGACGCTTCAGCTTTGAGGACACGTCATGCGTTGACATGCGCATGAATGATCGATCATGGGTTTGGTTATTAAATCGTGACAACATCTTCCTTGTCTTGATATATATAGAAATATGTACTGTTCTCTGGGATAAATGAAAGTTGCAAATTCACGTGACAGATATGAAAGCACAAGAAAAAAATCAGTCAAAAAATCATATGATTTTTTTAACTTGTGGTGTCCCTGCTCTTTCCTTGAGTTCAATTACAAGCAAAGTGGTCAAGGTCTCTGGTGTTCAAAGAGAACTTGAAGCAGGGGGTATACCCCACTCAGGTTGGGAACCAACCATGAGTGGATATTGTTACGCTGCTGTCTTTTAAGTGTTAAACTTGTGGCTACGTCTGTGTCATCTTGTACGACAACAGTAAAAATGAAGACGTGTGGGTTTGAGTGGGTGACGCTTTGGATCTTTAAAATTATTATCAACAAAGAAAAATCTTGAGATATAATATAATTGTATACAATCAGTGATAGGAAAGTTTTCTCAATCAACGGCCATACCATCCATAATAAGGAGAGATGTTAGCACAAAAGATTAATTCTAGTCAATTGCTTACGAAACACTTAACTAGTTTGGCATCTGGTCAATATGCCATTCTAGTAAATGATAATAGCGGTGGGAATTGATAAGATATAACTTTTTCGGAAGCTGAAGATCGCAATCTGATCTGGTTATAGTCTTTTTGTTGATTTTTTTTTTGGTGACACGAAAGTAAAAGGATATGATGATAATTGATGGGTTGTGCAATTTTGGTTGAGGGGTTGTGGGGTTCACTTGCGCATATGTATGGTTGCTAGGGCTGCTAGCTAGCAAGTAAGATTGATTAGGGAGTGATTTAGTTTGACAGAAAAAGGAAAGCTGATGTCAATCTCTTCAAAAAGATTTGAGACCTTTTTGGTATGTGGTGGATCGCAAACTCTTCTTTCAAGGAGGGAGAGAGAGAGAAGAGAGAGAGAGAGAGAGAGAGGAGAATCTTGTCATTATACACATACCCAATTTGTACAAAGTATATATCGTGCATGTATATATATAATAATATGGTAGTGTCTCGTCCTCAAGAGTAAAAATCCAACAATTTTTTATTTTATTTTGGACTTGGAGTGGAGCTATATACACTATCAATTATCAAAGGTGAATGTCCACTTCAAGTGTCACATTAGTCGCCTAGTGGGCTCTCTCTCTCACTCTCTCTCATATAGAAAATAATAAGAATGATAGCTGGAACCAGGCACTCTCAAGAACAAGTAAAAGAGCCAAAAAAATCCAATCCAGATTATCCAAAATTGACTTCCCTCTTCCAACTTAAGTTTATTTAAAACTTAAGATTTGAAAAGTGATGTGGTATACCACAGGTATGGATTTTATCAAATAGGTTAAGTATAGTGCTACTCCATGACTAGGTCGGAAAATTAAAACTATATGCTGCCAAGAAATTATGGAATCTATGCTTTACCATAAAAAATATGAGAGTTAAATAAATAGAACGAACACAGATATGATCTTTTTTTCTTTTCATCTGATATAACCACAATATTTAGTTTACAGCTGCCTAGGTTTGATTCATCTTCCTTAGAAGGTCACTGTCATGATCTCATCTCATTGTCTCTTGATTAATAAGTCTAGCTTACTTTTTCGCTTTCTATATTGTTTTGCCTTGGATTAGGTAAAAACTTTGTGCTATGTACCAGCCTGTTATTACGAAAGTGCTTCTAGAAAAGAGTGTTATGAGCAGAAATACTTCTTATAAAATTAGTTTAGGTTTATTATTATTTAATCGTATAATTATCTAACTAATGAATTATTTTCGAGTGCAGAAATGCATTTCATAGTCTAACTAATTTTATTTATTTAACTACAATAGTCAGACTACTTGACGTTTTAGAACAAAACCAAAGCCCTATTCCTTTAAGTGTCCCTTCTCGGTGAAAATGAAAAAAGATTGTGTTTTGTATTGAGAAGAAAATAATAAAACTATTTTGTACCATCTTCTATACAATCTCTTTAATATAATGGATTGAGATGCTAAGATGCTCGGTTGGGATGTAATGTAACAAATAATACAATACTCATAAGTAAATTGCTCTATTTTCTATTTAGTGTCGGTTTGGTACCCCTTTTCATGATTGAGTTTTAGTTTTATGTTAATGCCACAAATGAATGTGGATCTCACCAATGGCAATGTAATAACAAAAAAGCAAAATATATAAGAACAAAAAGTAGTATATGTGGCATGAGTTTGCTCGGGACACGTGGATGCATGAAGTAGATATGCAGGCATGAGTTCTCCTCTCTCTCTCTCTCTCTCTCTCTCTCTCTCTCTCTCTCTCTCTCTCTTCTCTCTGTTTCAACTTTTTGGATGCATGGAGTAGATATCGTGGTCATTCTTCTACTTTTTCCCTTCATTAATGTTCAAAGTTGGCATCACCTTGACTTTTCTCTTCCAATATCTTCTTTCCTTAGCTCACATGTTTGTGGACATTTGTGCTACTGTATGGATCATGGATGGATACAATGGACACCTGGCCAGTGGTCTTCCCCTATCGTCTAAGACTTTAATTTGCAGTGTCACGTATCATTTATGTGCAACTAACTGACCGTTACGCATGCAGGTCCATGTTTTAATGTTCTTGACTGATATCACAAACGGATAGATAGATCAGAACTCAACTTTGGGGCATTAAAAGCCCCCCTTGCCTTGGGATGATGTCAAAAGGCTGCATTGATAATAACCAACTAACTCTTTCTTATGATTTGTTTATATATGCATGCAGGTTCCCGATTCTCCCAACTTGGCATTTGACTTCGATTCACCAAGAAACAGAAACCTAGCATTCAGTTTTAAATTGGTTATCAGTTGTGTGGATGTCAGTGATTTCGGCCGCCCGCCCTATGCCATTCTTTGCTCCAATGGAAGTGATGTAAGTCTCATACAAGAATCAATGTACAAAATTAAAATATTAACATGAGAAGTAGCCATCCTGAATAAACTATAGTAGTATGATGTTCGTCACTATTCATTATTTACACTGCTACAATTTATAAGAGTTTTTCACCTATTTGTCATGGTAAAAGATAAGGGTAAGTAAAGCCGGGTTACTATTCACGTGAATATTGTGTGCCCTAGAAATAATTTTTTTTCACTTTGCCACCCATTGCCATAGCAACCCAAGAGCAATTACTATTCACATGAGATTAATTTTAGGGTAAACTAGTGAAATGCCCCCTGAACTTGTCCCTAACTTTCAATCGACCCTCTATCCTTTGTTTTTAGAAAATTAAGAATATTAATTTTTTTTATTTCGCCAATGTATCCCCAACAACAAAATTCAACACTTTCCATCCAATTTTTCGTCAACTTCTGTCACGTGCTTGCTTTATGAGAGTTCTTTTGTCATTTCGCGTCCAACTCCACCAAATCTAGATGCCCGCGATTGTCGAACTCTAAACCCTTGAATAAAAGGGACATACTGTATTTTGAAAACCTAATCAATGAAAATGAGGAGGAACTTACCTGAGGGACGGCATGGTTCACAGAGGTGGAATGCACATGTTGAGGAGAGCAGTGCAAGGATGTTGGCTTCAATGGTCTGTGATTGCAAAAGTGCAGACATATTGGATTGCTTCACATCCAAGGAGGAGGTTTTATGTCCGTGGGAGCATAAGTTTGCAAATCAAAATTTGGGGTTTTTATTTGTTTGTTTTGATTAGGGAAATTATACCCTAAAATTTGTTTGAATTGGCTATGAAAATTGTGCAAAATAGATGTACATTATGGGAATGGGGTGACCCTAAAATGTGTAAGAGATTAAAGCAAACCATACCTAGGCTGCTAAGAAAAATAAACAGGTTGGAAGATGAAAAAAAGTCTGCAAAGGAAAAATCGAAAGCGGGAAAGACTTGGTTTGGGTTGTGTATTTTACTGTTTGTGATTGTATTGTGGTTGATGTGTGCCAAACACAAAGGCAGTAATATGTATTTGCAATTGCCCTTGTAATGTGGTGTAGAAAGTAAGGGGAGTGGAAATGTAGAACTTTGGAAGATGAGTTTTGTAATAGCTGTGTTTGAAATGTAAAACTTTCAATTGGAATGTAAAACTTTTTGTGTTTGACAAATGTGTTTGTAACTGGTAAAAAGGAAGTAATTGATATACTCCATTGATAGTTTGAGAAGGTATGCAAACATTTTCAATTAGAAATCAAGCCTCTATCATAAGCAAGACCATAGAAATACAAAATGAACAACCTAAATAAACTTTCCACCTATCAAAAGACACAACATCCAAACTTTCCTCTTATTCAAAAGACATATTATAGGTTCAAACTTCCACCTAATCAAAACAACAAGTTCCAACATGATTAACATTCCCATGATGTCTAGACCTAATACAAACCAAATATCAAGAGTTCCACCAACATAGGTTCAAAGTTCCACATATTAACATAGGTTCAAAGTTCCACATATTAACATAGGTTCAAAGTTCCACTTAATCAAAACAAGTTCCTTGTCAAACCAAAACAAGAAGTTAGGTGCATTGAGAAGCTTGGTGAGGTTGAAAACTTGAGTTAGTTGCATTGGATGAGTTAGGTGCATTGGATAAGTTAGGCACATTAGTTGAGTTGGGTTGAGAATTAGGAGTAGCTTGGCTTGTCTGTTGAGACACATGGCCCCTCTTATGATCCCAAACTTTGCCCTGCCTTTACCTACATTAGGTTACTTCAAATTTGTGAGGGTTAATTTGGTTACTTGAAGAAGCAAGAAACAGAAGGTGATTGCCTTATCTAGTGCAAAAGCTGAGTTCAGAAGTATGATAAAAGGAATTTGCCAACTCCTATGGTTAAAAAAATTCCCTACTGAGCTTGGATATGCACTTACATATGTGATGAATCTGTTTTGTGACAACAAAACTGCAATATCCATTGCACATAATCCAGTTTAACATGATCACACTAAACATGTTGAAGTGTATTGACATTTATCAAGCAGAAGCTCGAGGCCACATAATTTGAATTTCCATTTGGACAAGTTGGCCATCGGCGATAGCTATGCAGCAACTTGATGGGGAGTGTTGGCGTGACTTGTAGACTCGTTGACTTCCCTTGCACACTAATGATTCCTATATTAATTGTAATTGATTTCCCTTTATTCATGATTTCCTACTATAAATGAAATTAGGAATTTATTACTTCACTTCGCTTCGAAGGTTTCGTTGTATTATAAATATGGCCTCTAACAAGGAGATGAATATATAGAAAATTCCCACAAATCAGTCTCTCATAATTTCACCAGAATCTCTCTGAAGATATGGTGTGGTGCCAAAGGGGCGAGTCAAGAACTTTCATAAGGTTATGTTGTTGAAGAATATGAGTTCCACATCGGAAACTTGACTAAATAAAATACAAAATATAATGAATGGTTCTACTACTAATAATACCGAGGCCTTTTGTGATAAAACCTCACACACATTGAGCTTTGTAGATGGTTAAGTTGGGGACAATATTAGTGTTGTTAGTAACGGGCCGCTGGCCCGTCTTTTTGAATTTAACATATGTTATTTATTTAAAGAGCTACTAGGGTAAAGTAGACTTTTTTTTGGGAACAGGAATAAGATGAACTTTTTAAAATTTAGAACTAAATTTATGCTCTTAAAAACATTGCACTGGGCTGGAGCCCACTCGAGCTTGGCTTCGCCCTTACTAGGGATGGTACATGCCCATGAACATGTGGGTCCAAGGTTGGGATGAAGGAGGTCCACTTTGGTTAAGGGTAGAACCTATGGTTGCTTGCCATACAAGCTTGCTTGTACATGCGGCGTGTGTTTGGGTGTCCTTAGATCATGTTATGCATCACAATCACAAAACAGACTTCTTCAACTACGCAATAAGCTCTTTTGCAATGTGGAAGGGGATGATTGCTTCTTCAGGTCTTGTTGAAAGCAGAAAAACTCACTTGTAATGGGGATATCACTGTTTTACCATCCCCAACCAATAACACAATAACTCGGGATAGTAAAGGAACCAATCAACGTTCAAGATGGAATTCTGCATGAGATTTGACAGTGATAGTAATTTGTAATAACATGATAGCCTAAAACACAAGAAAACCTAGAATATCCATTAGAAAGTTGAGAAACCACAAAGTTTTATTGATAACAACCATAATCCCTTAGCTAATATTGATATTAGTACTACCTCAAGCTCTAGAAACTCTAGTAATCCTAATTGGAAACATACTACAAAAATTCCAAAATTACCCTTCAAATTAATCATTGTTTTGACCTAACAAATGTCGTTATTTGGCCGAAAAGCACATATGTCACGGTACAACAATGAGTTGCACTTGTCTCTTCAAAACAATAATCGCAAGATATTTGGTTAACTATTCTACATCATATTTAGTTATTGTGCAATTTCATACAAAGATCGCAAGATAGTTGAGTAAATACATAGTAGAATAGATAGATTATTCGTACGTGGGGTTGGTGTAAAGTAGAGTGAGTGTAGAAATGAAATTGCAAGAGAGTAAAATATGTAAAAGAGAAATGGGGAAAGAGTACGGACAGAGGATGATGAGATAAAAGGTTTGCCTTTTTGTATTGCTGAAGAGACAAGGGGTGTTTTTTATGTCTAAAACCTAAAAAACCTTAGAGGAGGAGGGGGGTTCCCAACACTATTTTCTTTACCTAGCCAATAGTCGACCATCCCTTTCCTTTTTTTTTCCCAAATTCTTCCTCTACTTGTGTGCACAACAATGAATTTCCCTTGAAATTTCCACGAGCTGGAAACTTTCAACCAATAATCATCAACGAACAGTAAAAATATACTTATTCGTGATTCACTAACGGCCGTCACACTGTTGTACGGTCAAACTCCTGCCAGGACCCTCGCACACTAGTACACGTTCTTTATGCATTGCTTCTCTTAGACACGTGCTCTCTCTCTCTCTCTCTCTCTCTCTCACACACACACACACACACAAAAGAAACGAGTAAATAGAGAAATGGTAAGCATAGGAATGAGCTGGAGGCAGATTCCGTGTGTGGGATTCGAGCTGTAATTGAAAGCACCTTTTCTTTCCTCGCATCTTCGTCTCAAAACCCACATCATTGCCTATAAATAGTCCTCCACTTCGCTTGTTTTCATCACATAACACAACACAAGCAGTTTCGTTGTTTCTTTTGGTTCAACTCCATTTCATTCAATTGCTCTAGTTATTGTTTGTTACTGCGACAATCAATTTAGTAGCTCACAAAACTATCAGCCATTAAACCAACCCAAAATTACAAGAAGCAGAAGCGCAAGCTATATTCATATCTAGAGACATGGAAATCAGCAGTATTTTATACTCCATGCTTTGCATGCTTGCTTTTGTTGTTTTCTTCCTCTTTCTCATCCATTCCCTCATCTCCAAGCTCTTCTTCACTCCCAGTAGCCCCAAACTCCCACTTCCCCCTGGTTCCTTAGGTTGGCCCTATGTTGGAGAGACCTTCCAACTCTACTCTCAAAACCCAAATGTCTTCTTTGCCTCAAAACAAAAGAGGTAACAATTCATCCATTGTTCTGGTTACCAAATGGAAAACCACATCTTGGGGTTTTGCTTAATTGCCTACTTGCTACTTGATTTTATGCCCATGTGAATTAATATGCGTGCTGTGTTGATATATATTATATAGGTTTGGGTCTATCTTCAAAACCCACATCTTGGGTTGTCCCTGTGTCATGATTTCAAGCCCAGAAGCTGCAAAATTTGTGCTTGTAACTCGATCCCATCTGTTCAAACCAACCTTCCCAGCAAGCAAAGAGAGGATGTTGGGGAAACAAGCCATCTTTTTCCACCAAGGAGATTACCATGCCAAATTGAGGAAGCTTGTCCTCCGTGCCTTCATGCCTGAAGCCATCAGGAGCATAGTCCCTGACATTGAATCCATAGCCAAAGACTCTCTTCAGTCCTGGGAAGGCCGCTTGGTCAACACCTTCCAAGAAATGAAAACGGTGAGTTAGCCAGACCAGACCAGAGCCACTCTTTCTCAACAGAACAGAACAGAGCAGAACAGAGAATATAAAATAAAACTAAAACTAAAAAAACAGGGCAAACAGAAGTATAGAAATATATTTCTGGCAAGAGAACATTTCCTCTACTTGCTATAATATTCATATTTATGCAACTAGCAATCAAAGATTTAAAATGGGTACCAGCTATTTTGGGATGATATTATATTTAATTTGTGCTGATCAATCAATTGTTGCTGTTGTTGCAGTTCACATTCAATGTTGCACTCCTTTCTATTTTTGGAAAGGATGAAATTCTGTACAGAGAGGATCTGAAGAGGTGCTACTACATTCTTGAGAAGGGTTACAATTCAATGCCAATTAATCTTCCAGGCACACTCTTTCACAAATCAATGAAAGCCAGGAAGGAGCTTGCTCAGATCTTAGCTAAAATTATCTCCACAAGGAGGCAGAGGAAGCAGGTGGAGGACCATAAGGACCTTCTTGGATCATTTATGGGTGACAAAGAAGGCCTCACAGACCAACAGATTGCTGACAACGTCATCGGTGTCATTTTCGCTGCTCGTGACACAACGGCCAGCGTTTTGACTTGGATTGTCAAGTACCTTGGCGAAAACCCAAGTGTTCTTCAAGCTGTCACTGTAAGATTACTAATTCAATTCAATTATGTTGTGTCATTTTTTTGTTTTTTTGTTTTGGTGGATTCTTATTCCCACTGGCTGTGATTTTACAGGAAGAGCAAGAGGCCATAATGAGGACAAAAGAAGAAGAGGAGGGTGATGATGAAGGGAACCAGAAGGCTCTGAGTTGGGCAGATACCAAGAAGATGCCAATGACTTCAAGGGTTATTCAGGAGACACTTAGAGTTGCTTCCATCTTATCTTTTACTTTCAGGGAAGCCGTGGAAGATGTTGAATATGAAGGTCAGTTAAAAAAATTGAAGTCAATGATGTAGTTTATACTTGAAAGTTAAAATCTGTTCTAGCCTAATTAAAATTGAAAATTATTTTTCAGGTTATCTTATACCAAAAGGGTGGAAAGTTTTACCACTTTTCAGAAACATTCACCACAGCCCAGAAATCTTTCCTGAACCTGAGAAGTTTGATCCCTCAAGATTTGAGGTGAATATAGTTTGATACTATATGCATATAATTTCATATATCTGTGTTCTGTTCCTCTAAAACTGCAGAAAAACGTTATTGTAACGGGAATAGTACTGTTTTGCTGTCTCCGGCTAATAATACAAAGATCTGTGAAAAAGTTATCCCACGTATCATTGTGCTATTAGTCATGAATAACAAAAGTGCTTTTCCCTTCGATGCAGTGGATACTCATCAATTAAACATGTTGTGTGACAGGTTGCTCCAAAGCCCAACACATACATGCCATTTGGCAGCGGGACCCACTCATGTCCTGGGAATGAATTAGCCAAGCTGGAGATTTTGGTCCTTTTACACCATCTGACAACAAAGTACAGGTAGATACTTGATTCCCCTTGAGTTGTTTAACCTTTTGAGTTTTGAGGGGGTGGGCTCTGGCAGAGCATCAGAGACAGAGAGCACAGTAATAAAAAGGCCATACTTTCTTAAAATAGAATGTCAATGATTTTATGATCTGTTGGAGCTGACATGGCCTTGTTTGTTGCATTCTGCAGGTGGTCTATGGTTGGTGCACAAAATGGCATCCAGTATGGCCCTTTTGCTCTTCCCCAAAATGGTCTGCCCATCAGATTGTCTCCTAAAACATAAGCCCATAACACTCCAGACACTTCCTTTTCCATTGCAATTTGCTAGAGAATTGGTTTCTTTCTAGTTTCTTAAAGAAATGAAGAAATATTGATGTGAGCTAGACACAAACCTTTAGCATGAGGAAAGCTACCCAAAGTCCCTTTTCTTTTTGGCCAAGAGAAAAAATGATACCCAAAAAGTATTAAGAAAGTTGAAGATAGGAACACATGCTGCTGCAACAGAGGAAGCCAAAGTGTACAGAGAACAGAGGCTTCATACCAAAACATGATATGCAAGCCATGTCATGTTTTCTCCTTTTTTGTTCTTTTTTGGCAAGAGATCATGAAGAGGAAAACTCCTCACCGAATGTGATAATTGTATCTAAGCAGGTAGGAAGGATGAACTAATTGTATTTAACTAATTTTAAAATATTTTTCTTCTTTCTTAAATAAATGTAAAGAGCCGCAAGGCAGAATGAAGATGCAATTCAATGAATGAAACTGAATTTGGTTCTGTCTGAGTTCAAACGTGATGTCTTTATGTGACTTCCAACCACGTTCCAAACGGCCAGCATATTTGTTTACTTTTTTTGTTTGAAATAATAGTACGTGTGATGCTTGCTTTTATAATAAGAATCACCCTAACAAGAGAGAGAGAAAATAGAGAGAGATGGCGCAGAAATGCCATATGTATACGGCGCTCTTGAAGTCTGCGATGAAATATGAAATAGCTATCGAATAAAACTTTCATGTAACATGTTTCACACCTTTTTTTCTTTATCTCCCATAACATGATATGATAATAATAATAAAACTGGTATGAAATATATGATAAGTTTTTCTCCATATCTATTATACATGATTTTATTTTCCCAAACACAATTTTTTGACTTGGAGCAAATATCTCAATTAGATGAAGACAGAAACCATCAATCATTAAAATGTCTCACTAGATTTAGACAGCTGTATAGTTGCGTAAACAACAGTATTAATCAAATTATAAACAACTCAAGAACTTTGCTCCACCACTATTACCAGTAGCTAGCAGTTAGCAGCCAGGAGCCAGGGAATGGCATGGCAGACACGATCTGCATAAAATAAGGGAAAAGTTTTGCGTATCATCATCTCCTATATGGTAGATCATATAAGAAACTTCCGAATGAATGTACCAAAAACAAAGCATGAAGAAAGCTTACATTTACAAACGAACTTTTGTTGGAAATACCGTGCCACAAAAAATAAATAAATATAAATAAATAAATAAAATCCTAATAGGTACTCTATTAGTCATTTAGTGGTAATTAAATATATAGACAAACACATTGTTTTAGGTACTCTATTAGTCATTTAGTGGTAATTAAATATATAGACAAACACATTGTTTTACATAGAAGTAGTCAAATTATGAGTAGGCGAAATTTGGATTGGATCAGTTTCATCTCAAAATCATGATCGAATCAAATACAATATAACAGTTTGGTTCGAGTCAATTTTGACAAAAATCATAGAAGAAACCAAATTGAACCAAACCAAACCATTTGATTTGGTTTGGTTAAGTTGGTTTCGGACTATACGCAATCTTTTTCCTTGTACATTTTTTCAACATTGTGTTACCCCAATTAGTACCTAAAAAAAATTCACAACTTGCTACCTGTTTCTTTTTTATTTTCTAGTGTGTCAAACCATCCTAAATTGAACATGTCATAAAACTTCAAAAGTTCAATAACTAATATAGCTACCATTTAATAACTAATCAATGTGAAACCCTTGTCCCTGAAAAAAAAAAAACCTAAAAACAAAAAACTCGCAGCACACACCCCTGAGGCAAGCAAGGGAAGGAAGGGTCACTGGTCCTCCTCCTCCCATCTCCTCTCTACTTTGACACACAAATCCCCTTCCCCTCCCCTGCTTTTCCCTCTCATATCCTCTCATCTCCTTACCAACCTCCTCCCCTCACCTCCCTTCCTTCTTACTCGCCCCTCCCCTCACCTTCCTTATCCTCTTTCTCTCTCTCTCTCTCTCTCTCTCTCTCTCTCTCTCTCTCACTCATTATTATTATTATTATTATTATAATATTTTATTTTTGCAGATTTAGGGTTTGAGCTTTTGATTTTCTTGGGGATGACGTGGTTGCCTTTGTTGGTTTTGTTGGGTTGTTTTGCATATCTTGGGTTCCAGCTCTTGATTTACTTCGTGTGTTTTAGTTTTTATATGTAATAAGTGCATCAACTCTTTTTGAGTTTGTTGCATGTTCGTAGTCTCTACTCGTAATTTTTTACTTGTGAGAGTTTAAAAATTGTAGTTTGAAGTTGTAGTTTTGTGCGTTATGGTCTATGCCCGACTTTTGCAAGCTTGCGACTTTTATGTCGGAATTTCTTTGGCCCTTTATCACTCTTTGTGGAGTTACACTTGTCTGCATGATGTTTCCAGTGGAGTCCTCCGTATTTGAATTAACCCTTTGTGGTTATTGAGCTTCTGTATTTGTAATAACCTTAAGTGGCTATTTGTATTTGTACTGGCTCTTATAGCTGGGCTTTGTGTCTTCATTATAAATGCAATCTATCGTCTTTATTTGAAAAATATCAATAACTTCAAAGTTCCAACAAACTTCAAATTCAATATCCATATGTAAATATTATCCAATTAGAGGACTTCACGGGATAGTTTGGTATGGCGGACTATTATGGACAGAACTAAATCCTAGGACTGTCTTCGATTAACTCGAATTGGATTAAGCTGGATCAAGTATTGACCTACGTTTGGTGCTGCGTCGGACTAAGAAACTGGATTATAAAAATAATGAAGACCTATGTTTAGTGTTGCGTCGAACTAAAAAATAATTATTTAAATATTTAAATTTAATTAAAAATTAAAAATAAATAAATAATTATACAAGCCAACTCATGTGAATTGAAAAATAGCCCCACCCCACCCTTATCAGCCTTGCCAGCTCTCTTTCTCTCTCTGTCTTTGTTTTTTTTTCTAGTACTTTATTCTTATTTTCCTTATTTTTCTGTCTTTTGTTTACTTCTTTCTCTCTCTTTTATTTGTTCTCCTCTTCTTTATCTTTTTCTTTCTGTTCTGGTTTTCTTCTTCTTCTTTTTTTTCTTCTTTTTTTCAGTGGAAAAGGGGGTTAACACTAGGAAAACAAACTACGCCAACTCAACACAGATTGAGCGGTTTCTAGACACCCCTAAAAACGTCATCAACAAGTAAGGAAGCTACCTAAATAGGAGCATTATCATAAGTACACAGACCAAGATTTTTTCTTCTTTCTTCTCTCTGCTTCTGGTTTCATTATTTTCTGCTTTTCTTTTTTTCTTTGGAATTGTTACGAATTAGACTCAAATGGAGAAGAGAGATGGTTCTAGGTTCTGCTGGTGGCTGGGGTGCGAAGAGAGATGGCTCTAAGAAGAAATCCAGGGTGGAGCGCTGGGCGTTGGGTTTCCGTCGATTGGATCTGTGGTAGTGGGGTTTTGATTCAAGCTATAAGGAAATCTAGCCGAACTCGCTTGTTCAAAATAGCAAGCGTGCTATTTTGCAAACCCAATTTCGGGCTCACTATATTAGACGTGTGAGTACGAGCTTTTTTTTTAACTATTGGACTATATAATCTCATTTAAGATAATCCCCTCCCTTACCAAACATGAGTTTCAAGTATTATTTAACCCAATTCAGTCCAGTGAGGTACCAAACATGGCCCATGTATAATAAAATAAAAATAAATAAATATTCAAGTAGGCAGTCGGGTTCAGTTTAGGTTGGTTTGCAAAAGTTCAAAACCAAACCATTTATAGTCCGGTTTGTTTTTTAGATTTTCTATTTAAACCTCACACTTCTCTTTATTCACCCCAATACTTAGATCATTAAGTTGTAAGTTTTATTATTGTGTAAAAAGACAAAAAGGTCATCCAACTTAATACTTAACATTTTCATCCGACCTATTGGGTTTTGTAAACTTTTATAAAGTTTTATCAGGTTGCACCTTCTTTCATGTTTATATCCTATGGTATATATATCCCTTTTTTAGGTACAATTGAGCTAGAGGAAGTGAAACAATGAATCAACCCAAAGTGCCTAAAGCTTCAGTACATAGTGTTTCAATGTATCAAAATTCTAGATGGCATTCGGAGGTAGAAATCAAATAAGAATCACATATTATGCACACAAAAATTTCCATTCTATAAATTAACATTGTCAACAAATCAAGTGTCTGTCAAATTCATTTAACAATTTGACCCATTTGGTCAAGAGACTTGATCAAACTTAGCGGCTACTTACACCATTGCATGTTTCATACTTCATGAAATATGAAACTTCCCTTTGCAACCTCTTAATCCCATGTGTGTTTACAAAAAACTAATTTAATTACTTACTATTTCTCATGGGCATAACGTACTTCCTCCTCTAAGGGTAGCTTGTGGGGTTTAAATAGAAAATTTCTTTTATTTCTTATTTTTTCAGCTTGGGGTGTATTTAAGGGTAGTTTGGGAAGATAGTGGGGTTTTCTTAGAAATTGTGAAAATTTAAATTAAAAGTTGGGGTGAACTTAGAACATGGGGTGAACTAAGAGAAATGTCATTTTTTAAACTGTTAAATTTTTTCTTGATCAAAACCAAACCAAACCAATAATTATAGTTTGAATAAGACGGTTTAATATCATACATATAAGATAAAAATATACTTAATTACACGTAACCCCATCCTTCATTATGGTGCAGCATCATTATCCCACGTGTGAGAAAAATCAGCCCCGATTGCTAGAAATATCAAAGGCATCTAGAGCCTAGAGGATGATATTTAAAGTTTAAACAAATATTCTACAATAAATGTAGAAGAAATACCCACTTGAGCTAGTAACACAACAACATAAGCTCTTTTCCACTTGAGCTACGTGCTTTGACAACCATGATCTTGAAGCGGTTCTCAAGCCACGCAAACACACACGGCATGCCCGCCATGGGATAAAATTAAATGTGCTGTGTATTAAAACAAGAACTTTAAATTCTCTGTCCTCCATGCACTCACCTATAACCTACCTAGCTGCCATTTACCATGCATTGCTGTGCTATTTAAGACTCTACCTTTCTTCTTCTGAAAGTCGAGAGGAAATGAACAACACATTTTGAAAATCTAGCAGCAACAACAAAAATGCAAATTCATCAATAACCAGTTTTCTCCCAACCAGTTAATTAACTTTTGTCCCTTCATTTCAAACCACAACACGGCAGAGTCATGCATGTCAATAGGTCAAACCAAGACAACTTTAATTTAATAACTTGGCACACCAAAGAATTTGGTTAGTTTATTTTTCAAACTATAGCATGATGAAATTCTTACATGCAACTGGCGTATACTAACTATTCAAAGTATTATCCTTACATTTAAATTCATAAGTCTCCAAAATTATCTAATTAATTTAAAAGATCTCGAAGATCTCGAACTCTATGGAATCATACAAATGTTAATTTAAAAGATCTCGAAGATCTCGAACTTTATAGAATCATACAAATATTTGTTTCGTGATAATAAATCATGTGACAAGTACATACAAGGATGAATGGGAGAGAGGTGTTGCATGCACACCTCACCTCATATGCAAGAATTTTTCAGAGTAGAGTAGTCAAGAAATTAATGAGAAACGAACACGTTGCATTGCCACCTTGATTGTGTGAGTTGGTGAATTACTTAAAACATCTCTGTCCACCATCTCCCTATCTCATCACATCATAAGTACATTACAATAACATGTATTTGACAACTAACTATAAGCCTCTATTGACTTCCCCACAAGTTCAAAAATCTCACGTCATAAATATCTGACTTTCAATACGTTCAAAACTTTGCGAAAATGTTGACTTTGAATAAGTAACCAGTGGACATGTGTCCGTTGTGTCGCTTTTGATGTCGTGGATGATGCAACTGGGAAAATGATACGTCCGTTTTTATGGATACGATTGTAGTCTAGTTTCCTAATGACGTCTGAATATTTGTTGTTCCAAGATTGAAAATACATGCATGTTGGAAAATTCGAGCTAGGAAAGGGAACCCTCTTGGTTTTCGTTTCCCACTCTTCAAATTCTTGGTTGAGTTGGTGACTTGACTTGATGAATATTTGCTTTTGCTCTCTGTCCTTCTCTCTAGAGCGCTGAAGTAGAAAAAAAAATTGGATACAAGACCGCGAAATGTTCAACTTTGGAAGGCTAGGTTTTTGGTGAGTTTGAATTTAGGGGAAGAGATTAAGAAAAGAAGACAGAGATTTTGGAGTGAGAAAAGTGGGAATTGTGGAAATGAGCATTCGTTGAATATAGGCGATTCCGAATCCGACGAATAGGATGGAGACAAGGAGAGAACGAAACCTCCTGAATCTACTTCAGAGAAATTAAATGAATAGGGTCATTAAGTTTATTTTAGAATGCAAATATTTGACATTGCGTAGTCATTTATTCAATGTGAGATATTTTAGCAGACAGTTTATACAGTACCTAAGAAGATGATCATAGGAAGAGCCACCTTGAAGTACATCATAAAATGGATCGAAACTCATCCAAACTTAGCTTTAGACAATCAACCAAGCGACAGTGAGGTACTAGCAGACAATTTTTGTTCTGCTACCAACATCTTTAAAGTAACTTAGTTTATTTGTTTCGTTCTAATTTTATCGGATGTTTAAAGATGCTTCAATTTTTTATAAAAAGAAAAATTCAAAATAATGATCGTAAAGGACAGGGTAAAAACAAAGGTGACCTACTCTCAATCATGATTGATGCCAACTATTGATTTATATAGTTGTTTTGTCTTTTTAGTTGGGAGAATGGTGAATGCATGTACAGAAAACATAAACTGGTTTTCCTTTGGCATACTCATTTTTAAATGTTTGAGAGGAATATTGCATGAACTTGGCCTCTTTTTCTGAGCTCAAAGTCAGTTATGGGCACATACGAGATTAGAAAACCAATCCACATTCAAAAGTTGTTCTGGTAGCAAACCTGCAAGAGGGTAAGGCAATACCTAGTTAAAGTCCTAAAAATAATACAGTTGACATTGCCTAGTCCCCTACCCAATGATCAAGAATGCCTTTCCAGGCCATAGAGGAATTGTTCTTTTTCTTTTTCTTTTTTCTTTTTTTGAGTAAGAAAAAAAAAAGTAGAGCTTCTAAAATATTTAGCTCTCTACAAGGGACTCAAACGATTAAGATCAATTACTCCTGCAATTAAGGTCCTGAGTTCGGCCTCTAGGGTTCTAATAGGTATAGGATATAGGTTTTTTTTTCTTTCCCTTTTTTCTTTTTGTACTTTTGGTTACTAAGGAGGTAGGAAGGGAAAGGGAGCTTGGTGTGATATATGCTTTCCACCATTTAAACTAAACCCCCATTAAATATTAGAATTTAATCAAATAGTTTCCAAATGACCCCCTTTTCCCTTTTTTTTTCCTTGTTCATCTTATAAATTTTGCTCTATTTGTGCACAAGGCTTGGGCTTGAATAAGGTTTAGAGAATGCTTGCAGACAGCCCAACAGGCATATTTGCTTTAGGACCAGGTAAGATTGAGTAAAATTGTACACCATTATTAACTCTAAAACAAAAAAAACATTGTAGGATGGTATGTCATTCATCCAAAGCTTAAAGCCATCTTATTTTAGTTGAACTTAGCTTGTTTAGTTGTTATTTTTGGATGTGGTAACAATTTATTTCTTATAATCACAGGGGCGTATGCTGTGGTCAATGTCGTTCAATCTTGTTTTCATTTTTTTTTAAGTACAAGCAATAGTCTAAACTACAGAGATGAAGATTTCACATACACACGCACAACCTCTGATCTGTAAGTCAAAGCCCTTTTTCACTGGGCTAGACCCCGTTGGCAACGTTGTTCTATCTTAATTTGGTTGCTTGTGGGCACATTTCATCGTTGCCAACTTTCACTTGATCTGTTTGTGGGGTGTTCAGTGTTTGCATCTTTGTTTCTACTTTGTAATTTCTTTCCATTGAAGAACATGCTCTGAGGAAATATGCCTGTGTTCCAGTCAGTTCAAGGAATGAAAGTTGTGTGTCATGAGCTGGCACAGTCGACCGATGATCCGGAACGCAGTGGTTAGAGATGAGTTAGTGAGGGATGCAGATAGACTTGCTTCTCGCTTAGCAGACAAGGTAGCCAAGACTTTTGAGTTCAGTTTGACAGGAGCTTCATCTTGGTCTTGTAAATATGTCCTGAACACTCTTATGCAGATATTTCAAAATAATTACTAACAATAACATAAAAACAATAGGGCATATTTAACAGCAATTCATTTTGCAGAAAAAGAACAGAAAATATTGATCCAATTTCAAAAACCTTGAGAGCTACAATAGCTTCTATACACATACTTGAGACCTATATTACAAGTAGCACCTGAGGATTCTGATTACGCGACGAGTACAAGCCAAATGAAGATTCAATCCTCAAGCCAAAAACACATGGAATCAATAGGCTTAACCCACCAGAGGAATATACCTCAATATACTAACCACTGTCATGGATCATCGATTATGGAGGCCATTGCTGTTATACATTCCATACCTTACACTCACACTCCTCAACTGCAAAAGATTTTATACCATTTAAACAGCTGCAAGATTGTTATGGACATTGTAAAACGCCTGACACATCTAGCCTTTCTTTCTTTAAAAGTTCTACACATCTAACCTTCACTGTAGACCTGGATAATTGGTCATAGTTATGGACATAGTAAAATGCCTTACTACATGGAAATTCATTGCTAATTTGCTATCAAAACCAAAAAATTTAGTAACTCATATTCATATTTACCTTTACAATAGTGTTGTATCATTCACACTTTGTAGTAACATTGTACCAGCTGCTTATAGCTAGCAGTGCTTCGGAAGTTTCTAAGATTTTCTTACAGAAAGCAGGACTTTTTATCTAAGATTTTCTAAGATATCTTTGTGATGTAGAAGAAATGGCAGATCTTATCGCGGTTGAGCTAGAAAAAGGACGTAGCGAGAATTTGCAGATTTGTCATCTGAGCTCTGATTAGGACGCAAAATACCATTTCGGAAAGGGAATGACGCCACGAGTCAAACTCATGGCTTTGCCGTGATGTATGATGGATTTTGGCATCCTGAGGTCGTTTGGCCTTCCAAAACTGCATTCAAAGTTTCGTAGTTAATTTTCGGAATAAATTATGTTTTTCAGTTTTAATGTAATAACTCCCCTAGCAGCTCAAGGGTTGAGAGATGTGTATTTAGACAGAGTTGGTGAACGTTTTTCAGTATCTCAGATTTTAATAAAATTATCCCAAGAGAATTACTCTCAATCTCTGGTGGAATCCATATTTCTTGTTACTCAAGGTTTTCATTTGAAACCTTTGTTGCTTGTGCTGCGTCAAGTGGTATCAGAGCGGGTCTCTCTCGTCTCGGTATTCTTGTCTTATCATGGGTGATCGAGAAGCTGATGTCCCAGCCCCAATTACTCGAGCGGATTTGGACGCTCAAAACCAACGGATCGACAACCTAACCAACCAATTTGGGGAGATGCGAGAATTGTTGTTGCGAGCTATTGGTGGCAACAATGGAAGGGGTGGCAGAGATGATAATCGAAGAGAAGGTAGAGATGGCGAGAGAAGAGATAATAGGAGGCAACTTATTCCGGATAATGAGTCAAAGCTAGAAGAAGAACTTGAGGAACCACCACCACCACCGGCTAATAATCATCGTAATCGTAATTATGAAAATTTTGGCGATTATCGGATTAAAGCCGAAATCCCTAACTTTTGGGGAAATCTGAAGATTGAAGACTTCTTGGATTGGCTTGTAGAAGTGGAGAGGTTTTTCGATATTATGGAGGTTCCTGAGCATAAAATGGTGAAGATGGTAGCTTTCCGTCTAAAAGCTACAGCGGCTGTATGGTGGGATCAATTGCAAAGTTCACGGCAGAGGCAAAGAAAGCAGCGGGTTCGTACATGGCGAAAGATGAAGCCGCTTATGATGGAACGATTCTTGCCCACAGATTATGAGTAGATTCTTTACCGTATGTATCTAGGTTGTGCGCAAGGCAACCGTTCGGTTTCTGAATATACCGACGAATTCATGCGTTTGGCAGAGCGAAACCATTTGACCGAGACTGACAATCAAAAGGTCGCGAGGTATAACAATGGGCTGAAGATTTCCATCCAAGAAAAAATTGGTATGCAGAATATAACCATTTGCAGGAGGCGATTAACATGGCGTTGAAAGCTGAACTGTTGGAGAAGGAGAAGCGCCAAACCAACTTCCGCAAGAACACGACAGAAGCCTCTGAATATGCTACTGGTGCTTCTAATGGCTCAGGAGATAAGGGGAAAGTGCAGCAGCAGAATCCTGGAGGATCGCCAAAACCAACAACAGTTGGCCAAAACAAAAACTTCAACGAAGGCAGCAGCCGGACTTTCAACAGAGGGCAGTCCCGATATCAGTCCCAGAATCCGTATGCTAAGCCCATGACGGACATATGTTACCGTTGCCAAAAACCAGGGCATCGTTCCAATGTTTGTCCAGAGTGGAGGCAGGCTAACGTTATCGAAGAAGTCGATGATGATGAGGAAAGAGATGTAGTCGGGGAAGATGATTATGCAGGGGATGAATTTGCAATTGAGGAAGGAATGTAGAGGATTACCTTGGTTTTGCAGAGAGTTCTTTTGGCACCAAAGGAGGAAGGGCAGCGTCATAGTATTTTTCGTTCCCTCTGCTCAATCAAAAACAAGGTATGTGATGTGATCGTCGACAATGGAAGTTGCGAGAATTTCGTGTCAAAGAAATTGGTAGAGCATTTGCAGCTATCAACGGAGCCACATGTCAGCCCTTACTCACTAGGTTGGGTTACGAAAGGCCCTTCGGTTCGTGTTGCTGAGACTTGCCGTGTGCCGTTGTCCATTGGTAAGCATTACAGAGATTATGTATTTTGTGATGTTATTGACATGGATGCATGCCATATTTTATTAGGGTGACCTTGGCAATTTGAGGTGGATGCGACTTTCAAGGGACGAGATAATGTAATTCTGTTTTCTTTGAACAACCGCAAAATTGCAATGGCAACTACAAAGCCCTCAAAACAATCTGTTGAGCCCAAGACGAGGAGTTCTAGTTTCTTAACCCTAATTAGCAACGAGCAGGAGTTGAACGAGGCTGTCAAGGAAGCGGAGTATTTTTTTGTCCCTTGGTGTTGAAGGGGTTGTTGCAGCTTGGCAGAGGAGGAGAAAGTGACATTCCACAAGACGTGCAGCAGATTTTGTCACAATTTCAGGAACTACTTTCTGAAAAGTTGCCAAATGAGTTACCACCTATGCGGGACATACAACACCGAATCGACTTGGTGCCTGGAGCTAGCCTTCCGAATCTGCCCCATTATCGGATGAGCCCCAAGGAGAATGACATCCTAAGAGAGCAGATTGAAGAATTACTGCAGAAGGGATTTATCAGGGAGAGCTTGAGTCCCTACGCAATTCCAGTTTTGTTGGTTCCAAAGAAAGACAAAACTTGGCGAATGTGTGTTGATAGCCGAGCAATCAACAAGATAACAGTCAAGTACAGGTTTCCCATTCCACGGTTGGAGGATATGCTGGATGTTCTTGGCGGCTCAAGGGTGTTTTCCAAGATAGATTTGCGAAGCGGTTACCACCAGATTCGCATCAGACCTGGCGACAAATGGAAAACAGAGTTCAAGAGTAAGGACGAATTATTTGAATGGTTGGTGATGCCATTCAGATTGTCTAATGCGCCTAGCACTTTCATGAGACTCATGAATCAGGTTCTTCGACCATTTATTGGTTATTTTGTCGTAGTTTATTTCGATGACATTTTAATTTACAGCACCACAAAAGAAGAACATCTTGTGCATTTGGGACAAATCTTAGATGTTTTGAGAGAAAACAAGCTGTATGTGAACCTGAAAAAATGTACTTTCTGCACAAATAAGCTACTGTTCTTGGGTTTTGTTGTTGGTGAGAATGGTATCCAGGTAGATGACAAGAAGATCAAGGCAATCCTTGACTGGCCAGCTCCAAAGACAATCTCTGAAGTTCGAAGTTTCCATGGTTTGGCCACCTTTTACAGAAGATTTGTGAGGCATTTCAGCTCCATTGTTGCACCTATCACAGAGTGTTTGAAGAAAGGCCGGTTCAGCTGGGGAGAGGAGCAAGAGAGAAGCTTTGCAGATATAAAAGAAAAGCTTTGCACCGCGCCGGTTCTAGCTCTTCCAAACTTTGAGAAAGTATTCGAAGTTGAGTGTAATGCCAGCGGCGTGGGAGTCGGAGCTGTGCTTTCACAAGACAAGGGGCCAATTGCATTCTTTTCTGAAAAGCTGAGCGATGCACGTCAAAAGTGGAGCACTTATGACCAAGAGTTCTATGCGGTGGTTCGAGCTTTGAAGCAATGAGAGCACTATCTTATCCAGAAGGAATTTGTTTTGTTTACAGATCATCAAGCGTTGAAGTATATTAACAGCCAGAAAAACATTGATAAAATGCATGCTAGATGGGTGACTTTTTTGCAGAAATTCTCATTCGTTATCAAGCATACTTCCGACAAGACAAATCGTGTGGCGGATGCGCTCAGTAGAAGAGCTTCATTGTTAATCACGTTGACTCAAGAAGTTGTGGGGTTTGAATGTCTGAAGGACTTATATGCGGGTGACGATGATTTCCAGGAAATTTGGACTAAGTGCACCAATCATGAGCCAATGGCAGAATACTTTCTTAATGAAGGTTATTTGTTCAAAGGCAACTAGTTGTGTATTCCAGTTTCCTTTTTAAGGGAGAAGCTTATTCAGGACTTGCATGGTGGAGGGTTAAGTGGCCACCTAGGCCGTGATAAAACAATTGTAGGGATGGAGGAGAGATTTTACTGGCCACAGCTCAAACGAGATGTTGGAACTATTATGCGCAAGTGCTACATTTGTCAAACTTCAAAGGGGCAGGTACAAAACACTGGATTATATATGCCATTACCAGTTCCTAACGATATTTGGCAGGATCTTGCTATGGATTTTGTCCTCGGTTTGCCCCGAACACAAAGGGGAGTGGACTCTGTATTTGTGGTGGTTGATCGGTTCTAAAAAATGGCGCATTTCATAGCCTGCAAAAAGACTGCTGATGCATCAAATATAGCCAAACTGTTTTTCAGGGAGGTTGTTCGCTTGCATGAGGTTCCTACATCCATTACATCTGATCGTGACACCAAGTTCTTGAGCCATTTTTGGATCACCTTGTGGAGACTGTTTGGGACTACTTTGAATCGTAGCAGCACTGCCCATCCCCGGACTGATGGCCAGACTGAGGTTACAAACCGGACATTGGGCAATATGGTACGAAGTGTCTGTGGAGAGAAGCCAAAACAATGGGATTATGCACTACCACAGGTGGAGTTTGCATATAACAGTGCAGTCCATAGTGCAACTGGAAAGTCTCCATTTTCCATTGTTTATACTGCTATACCTAACCATGTTGTAGATTTGGTGAAACTGCCTAGAGGCCGGCAAACCAGTGTGGCAGCGAAAAATTTGGCTAAGGAAGTAGTAGCTGTTCGTGATGAAGTCAAGCAGAAACTTGAGCAAACTAATGCTAAGTACAAAGCTGCTGCAGATCGGCATAGGCTTGTTAAAGTGTTTCAAGAAGGCGATCCTGTGATGATATTTCTGAGGAAGGAGAGGTTTCCAATTGGCACATATAGCAAGCTTAAACCAAAAAAATATGGTCCTTACAAAGTGCTCAAATAGATCAATGATAATGCCTATGTTATTGAGTTACCATATTCCATGGAAATTTCCAATACTTTTAATGTTGCAGATTTATGAGTTCCGTGAAGATGAGGTCCTTTATCCAGATCATAACCCGGGGTCGAGTTCTTCGGAGGTGGAAGGGACTGATGTAGAACAAATGGCAGATCTTATCGCGGTTGAGCTAGAAAAAGGACGTAGCGGGAATTTGCAGATTTGTCGTCCGAGCTCTGATTAGGACGCAAAATACCATTTCGGAAAAGGAACGACGCCACAAGTCAAACTCACGGCTTTGCCGTGATGTATGATGGATTTTGGCATCTTGAAGTCGTTTGGCCTTCCAAAACTGCATTCAAAGTTTCGTAGTTAATTTTCGGAATAAATTCTGTTTTTCAGTTTTAATGTAATAACTCCCCTAGCAGCTCAAGGGTTGAGAGATGTGTATTTAGACAGAGTTGGTGAACGTTTTTCAATATCTCATATTTTAATAAAATTATCCCAAGAGAATTACTCTCAATTTCTGGTGGAATCCAGATTTCTTGTTACTCAAGGTTTTCGTTTGGTACAAATTGTGTGCAAATCGTGGAAATGAATTTTTTTTTAAAACACTTTTAATATAAATATTATGCAACTTGGAGTTAGTGACATATGCATCAAAATGTTCTTAAATCAACCGCCTCATTTTAGCCTCTTTATTCTCTCAAGGGCGCCAAGGTGGCTGTCACCGTCCTTGGTCGCAGCAACATCTCCACCCTCATCTTTTTCAGCCTCCTTTCTCTTGTTAGCCAACTCTCCAAAAACAGCAGTTGGGACCTCATTTAGTGCAATTTCAACCATTTCATCATCTTCTGAATCACTTTCTTCCAGTAGCTCAATTTCTTCATGAATTGCAGTAACTTTGATCTCTTCGTCCATCTGTGATTCTACTCCAGCACTCACAAAGCCCACTTTTCTGTTACCATCTTTGGTGGTAGTGTCTTTAGCCACAGGTGCTAACTGCCTCTCTAAAGCAGCCATTTCATCTTCAGGGACTCCAGCCTGTTTCAACTTGTGTTTTGCCTCGTCAATGTTCAACCTCTGATCCTTTTGCATCATATACTCGGGTAGAATAAAGTGTGTCTGGCTATAGCTTGCAGAAACACTTCGCTTAATTCGAAGCATCTCTCGGAAGGTATCTTCATTTCCATGTTGCACCTCAAACTCATGCCATTTGTTCCAGAAATCTATATCAGATCGTGGATCCAAAAACTGTGATGCAAGTACATATACTCCCCGAGCACAATCAATTTCTCCCAAGCTCTTCTCAAGCTCAGCATACTTCAAACACATTGTCTTCACATCTTTGTCTGGAAGACCGGATTTTATTGCTTGCTCATATATTTCCCTTGTTTTGGGGATGCCAAATATCTCCGCAGCACGGGCAATGTAGATTTCATACATACTCAATTTCTCATGGTTTGGAACAGCCTTAGTTGCTTCATCATAGATCTTCATAGCTCGCTTTGCTAGACCATAATCCTCCTCCAGATTTGCAAATTGAAGACACAAAGGTTTCTTTGCATCAGCAGGCGCTGCTTGAACAGCATCCTCAAATAGCTGTCTTGCACGTTCCAGTTCTTTCTTCCCATATCTCTTTACAAATTTAGAGAGATATGTAACCCATATGTCTTTGACATGTGGGTACTTACATATTTTGGTACCTTTTTCATACACCTTGAACGCATCTTCAAAGTATTTATGCTTCTCCAGAAGCAATGCATAATTGATTATGATTTGTGGCGTGGCTATCTTCAAATCCATTATCCTCTCATAAACAGCCCGGGTGGACTCCAATTTACCAAGGCTCTCCTCTAAATCCACGTAAAAAGTCCACATTCTCAAGGACTTGTGCAGCTTCATCTGAACCGGTTGGTTCCCATCAGCCGCCACTCTGCATTTCACCTCAACGGATGGCTCTGCGGTGGCCAGCCTCATTAGTTCCAGTGCTCCTTTGAAATTCTTATGCCTCAATTCCATTTCTGCCCACTCACACCAAAGACTAGCCAAATTATCCACTGTCTTGTAGTTCACCTGAACTGCTTTATCAAAAATCACTCTTGCGTTTGCAATATCTTCATGATTCTCGTACAACTTAGCAAACGCAACCCACAACGTATGAGGCTTTCCCACTGCTTTCATTGGATCAACTGTCCTCACAGCCTCTGTGTAAGTAAGTATCTGCTTTGTGGGATTGCCCTCAAAGAGCTTCACTCTTTGGTGCCACTGCTCTACATTATGGGGATTTTGACGTAAAAGAACACTACTAGCCAGTATAGGACTTCTATCCATAAGATGCTCCAATCGAGCCAACCTCAAATCTATATCCTTATCATCATGTAACCAAAACCCATTAAGCATTTGCTTCTCAAGCTCAGTCACAGACAAGTTAACATCCAATCGAAGATCAACTTCCTCCTCATTTCCATCCTCTTCTACCCCATTTTCTTCTTCCTCCTCTTCATCACTCAAATCCGCAGTCTCCATCTTATGGACAAGCATGCTATCTTCAAACCCAACATACGAATCAAAAATTACACTAAAATCTCTTACCGTTACCACAGTAATCATACCCTCCTCAAATATATCCCTAGCTTTCTCGTGCAAATTCCTCCTAATGTAATAGTCAGCAAGTGAGGTCCGCAACCGTCCCACCTCGTCTGTAAATTTCCTAATCCCACCTCTAATAATAGCATCTACATTGAGGCCTGACACCTCCTTAGCGTGCTTAGCAAGCAAATCACACAATTCCAACCACAGCCTATGTTTCGTTTTCCCCTTTATCGAATAGAACTGGTCATCATTCAACACTGAAGCCAGCCTCTCGGCGGCCTCTTGCCAAAGACTAGAATTTATCAAGAACTCAATGAATTTTTCAATATGGGTAGGGTCATATTTCAAATACCTGCGATAAAGCCGAAGCGAGGTCTCAATTGGAATACCCTTTTGGCTCACGAACTCCAGGTACGGGTCCCAAATGCCGTCGTGCTGCGTCACTGGAAGTGCACACAGCGCTCTGTCGAAGGTCCGGCGAGTCCGAGTGAACAACTTCTGCTCCGTCAAAGTTTGCAAGTACAGAATCCAAATTTTGGGCATTTTGTGCATAGTAACCAGGGCTCTTTCAAAAGTGTTGTTGAGGGTTTCATACTGGAAGTGAGTGATGGGTAAATTGCGAACGAGCTCGAGGCGTTCGTGAAGGTAAGCGGACCAAAGCTTTTAGCTCCCAGGAAGGGCCTTGAGTGCTCGCTTGTAGATTATAAAACGCTTCTTGAATGGAGATTCGGATTGAGCGATTAGGTAACGCCACCATACCTTCAGGCTAAAGGGGTTTCGGAGAAGCTCTTCTTCGTAAAGGAGGTCGTCTTGGGATGGGTAAAGCTCTTGAGAGATCGACATATGAAGTTGAATAATCGGGAATATATACGAGGGTGATAGAAATATAGGATAGTAAAATGTGGGAATTTTCTATGTATTCGGCCATATATATAATACACTCCTAGGCCAAGTCGAAATATAATTTCTAATTCTATTTATAGTAGGAAATTAAAAATAGATGGATAAATTACAGTCAATTTGGGGAAGTAGGGTCAACTCACGCCAAACACCTTCTTCAAGTTGGTGCATAGATGTCCCTAATGCTCAACTTGTCTGTAAGGCTTGTCCTAATTGGAAAATATATGTTGCACTTGCAAGTGATTAAGAGGCCCGGAATAAGCAAGTTAGGATGTGAATTTGTTTATTTATTTATTCAAATAAGTGGTATTTTTAGTCAATTTGAAATACATATATATGTAATTTTAAAAAATAAATTTGAACTAATGTGAAACTTGTACATTAACCCAGACATGAGCATAGCTCTTGAGGCTGCATTTGTTTTCTCTACTAATTTGAAAGATATGATTTCAACTATAGAGAGCCTAATTTTCACCATAGGGTGCACAATGACAGTTGAAACAGTTTATACATATAATATCAGTACCCAAGAAGATGATCATAGGAAGAGCCACCTTGAGGTACATCATCAAATGGACAAATCTCATCCAGGCAATCAACTAGGTACTAGCAGACAAATAGTATATTTAAAAACCAATCCACATTCGAAAGTACAGAGTAAAAATTAGAGTTGCCATTGCCTATCTACTAATATGTAGAAAGGATATTAGGGTTTTTTTATTATTATTTTTCTTTTGGTTACTAATGAGGTAGGAAGGGAAAGGGAGCCTGGTGGTATATATATGCTCTCTACCATTTAAAACCTCCAGAAAATATTAGAATTTAATTCAATAGTTTCTAATTACCTCTTTTTTTTTCCTTTTTTTCCTTGTTCATTTTTTAATATTTTGCTCCATCTATGAACATTGCTTAGAGATGCAGAAGGCTTTGGTTTGGTTAAGGTTCCCAGAATGCTTGCAGACATCCCAAAAGGCATGTTTTCTTTAGGACTAGGCAAGATCGAGTACAATTGACCACAACTAGTATAACTATAAAAATAAAAAAATAAAAACAGTCAGATGGTATGTCAATCACCCAAATCTTAAAGCCATCTTGTGAAAATAGTTACTATAACAATACCATAAAGAACAATAGGGCATATTTAACAGCAATTCATTTTGCAGAAAAAGCACGGAAAACATTTATCCAATTTCAAAAACTTTGAGAGCTACAATCGCTTCTATATACACAAGTGAGACCTGCATTACAAGTAGCACCTGATGATTCTGATTACGCGACGAGTACAAGCCAAATGAAGATTCAATCCTCAAGCCAAAGACACATGGAATCAATAGGCTTAATCCACCAGAGGAATTTACCTCAATACACTAACAGCTGTCATGGATCATGGATTATGGAGGCTGTTGCTGTTGTACATTCCATACATTACACTCCCACTTCTCAACTGCAAAAAAATTTATACCATTCAAACAGCTGCAGGATTTTTATTGAGGGTAGAGGTTGGCAAAAAGAGATGATGAAGAAATAAAAAGTGTACCTGCTCAACAGCATTTGTCATGCCTGACACATCTAGCCTTTCTTTCTTTAAAAGCTCTACACGATCCCGAAGACACTGATTCTGTTCTTCAGCCTATATTTGGGGAGGAAAAAAATTAAAAAATTAAAAAAGAAAAAAAAGGAAGCAAACACTTGTATTATGTTACGATTAAATAGACGTTCCTTTTAAAATGTGAGAGAATAAATTCAATGAGATAATGCATGTTTTGGAAGTGAAGGAATTTGTTTGGAGAAGATTTCATATCAACAAGAAACCAGATGTGTGTGCGCAGTTGTGAGAGAGAGAGAGAGAGGTTCAAATTTGATTAACCATCAACCTCATAAAAAGTTTCTGGACAGCCAAACGAGTAGAACTAGGAAAAGTTACCATACTACAAGCTAAGGGGAAAACATCAGTGAATCAATGTTCTTCAATTAAAAATGCATTAATTGGCAGACCTTTAAGGATGGTCTAACCACAGAAGTTAACAATGTCGGAAAGTTAGGGGAAATACAACACAGGTACCAACGTAACAGCATCTTTGACCTAAGTAGCCAAGTACTACATCATCTGAGGATATGCATGCATACACTCGTGTAAACAAGTTAACATCTTAGGCTAATATCATTGAAACAATAGAGCTTAAAAGGGTCGACCTTGTATTGGCTGGCTCCTTTTTAATTTCAGACCGCCCACAGCTTTGAGTACCCAGTGCATATTGTTTATCAACTTACCAGAACACTTTTTCCCGGTAAGAATTCCTTCCATAAGTCTGTATCCCAGCTACATACCAGTTTTATGCATAAATGATAGGGTGAAAACCCTTGACTAGTAAAAGTGCTTGGTAACTGTTCCACAGGGCATATCCTATTACCTGGGATTTAATCTCGCCTTTATAGGATTTGGGGTTTTACTCTTTGTGCAGGCTGATAGGCCCAGTGGAACTCCAATTGATCTCAATGAACCAGACAAATGTGAGACCCTAGTACTCTTGAATTCTAGAACACAATATATATATTCTGTGTGTGTATAAATGTTGGACAATTCCCTAAAAACTAGATGATATCATCTCTACCAAGCAGCTTTTAATTGCAGTTTAAGTTTGAAGATATCTACCATTTCCAGCATCTTTGTCAAGTACTGGATTTGATCCTTCTTCATTGTGGACAGATCATGAGCAACATCCATTACATTAGTCCTGCATGAATCAGCACATGTTTAAACAATCTAGTTTACACTAATATGAAATGTAACTATATAGATTAAGATGGATACTATCAAGATAAGGCTCCCTGTCCGCCATAGTACCAAAAGAAAAATGGATAAGACCACCTCTTGGACAGTTTTCATGCACTGTTAGAGTAGTGGGGGCAATTGGGGAGGTGGGGGGACGTATATACAGAACCTCTACAAGTTCAACAATGGAAGTAAACACAAGGGCCTTTATTATACACTCTTGTAAGCTTCATTTGTTACCAAAGCAAATGAACACTAGCCTAAACAAAAGGGCCTTTATTATACACTCTTGTCTCCCTCCTTTATCTTGTACTTACCATTCTATTGAAACATGATGGCATGTGTTGCATTACATTTAGGATGAGTTATGAATCTAGAAAGCAAAATGGAAAAAAGCACGAATGCACATACAATTCTTGGCAATTTTAACGGTCAACCAACACTCGGTTTTTTTTTCTTTTATTTTTTTATTTTTTGGTCCAGGGAAAGGAGTTGCTAAAAGGCCATATATTCAATTTGTCAAGAAATCAAGAAAATACTTACTTATCTGAAAAAAAACAATCCAGAGCTTGTTCTTCCACAAGTTGTTCAACAGTATCAAGAGCAGTTCCCACCTGCAAGCAGAGAGAGACTATACATAACAAGAAAATATATTGGATGCTAAGAATAAAGAATACTGTGATGTATAATATATAACGTATATTAATATTAGAAATTAGAACCAAGAGGATCTTGAACTAATAGTGTTTTAAAAAAAAAAAAAAAAAAAAAAAGCAAAAAAAACAGCAGGTTAGTTTGCTTATTAATTCTATCTGTAAACTGTATACAAGCATGTAAGGCACATCATACAGCCATAAATGCTATTGTTTTCAGTCAACAGTAATCATCTGAAGATTCCATCTGTTAGACATGTGATTCTTTTAGGATTGTAATAATGTCTAAATCAGTAAGAACCAGAGATACTTCTTGTTGCCTGCATAAAACATAAATGAGTTGGGTCTTAGGAATTATCGTTAGCCACCACTAGTTCCCTCTCGTCATGGAACCTCTCATTGAATCAACTATTACTCCATTTTCGGAAATTACTTAAAAACATAAATGATCAAAAAAATGTCATCATTTCACTGGACATGGGTATGAGCCTATTTATACATGAGGCTTCAAATTACACAACACAAGGGCCCAGCGTATGCATGTTGACACAAATTACTAAATTTTTCTTTGAAAACTAATAAAATTCTAAAACTTATCCCATGTTTTTCCTAATCATGGTAAATCCTACTTCCATCCTTTCAGTCCTCGGTATTCCTCTTTTTACTAAAAGTTTCATCTGCAGTGCCTTCTGGTGTCAGAATTTTCCCGAATTTTAATGACTTGCTCTAAAACCAGTTTATCATCTTTTTCCTTTGTTTTAAGCCATAATAGTTTTGTACAAATATATCAAGAATATCACGGGTCAGCTAGATGTCTAAGCATGTCTTAATATATTCATTTCCAAAATAGGTCTAACTAAACGACCATCTAACGCATAACCGTATTTTCTTTGCTAAAATAGCATTAATTGGTGGCAGTAATTCAGCCAGTGGAATGAACATTTCTTGTTAAGTAACTCTACAATAAAGCTGAAATTACATTAACACAAACTCCATGTAAAAGAAATTCATTACTAAGGTATAAATTAAGACTCAAATAAAGCAACGATCAGACCCAACTAGAACTCTTTTATAACAACCAGAAGGCTATTTACACGAGAAAATATGCTCCGTGCATTAAAGTCACCTCCCTCACTTAAAACTCACTCTCTCTAATTTCAGAAATAACTTGTAAGCTAATTACACAGAAGAATCTACATAAGTTGTTAAATGGAATAACTGTACATTAATGTCATTACAAAATATTGATATGTATACCTGTGTTTCAAGGCATACTGACTGAAACTCATCCTGTAAAATTAAAAAGGACAAATTCTTCAGAATTCAGCAAAAAGCATTATAAAATACATCATCACGTATAAATACACAAATAAATACTCCTGATGAGATCCCCAAATGCACACCACCATTCAACATATCATTAAATCCTCTGATAAGAACATTTAAGAAATCAAGAGAAGAAGTGCATTGTTAATATTGGCAATTGGTATGAAATGAATTACCTCTACATTTCCATGCAAAGAAGTGATGACCTGAAAATTTGTATATGATATCAATGAAATGAGCATTTGTCCTGAATTTGAACTCAAAAAAGAGACCCTCTATCCAAATCTCTGCTTACAAAGTGCAGAGAAATAAACAAAATGTCTACATCGATTATTAAATGACATTATCTGTACCTGAATAAACATCCTATGAAGACGCTCTTGCTCCGCAGTTGTAAAATTCGGAAATGCTTGGCAAAATTCCTTTTGTGTTCATCATAAAACAAAGTCAATCAATTGAATCTGGAGGAAGAAATGCATAAATTCGAAAGAATAAAATAAAATTTCCAGACACAATGCAATGGGTATCTTTCGACTTTGAAATGGCAATTGAGCAAACCCATTTCTAAAGAAGATGAAATTGTAAGTAAAGAAACCTGCTTAGAACAGGGAGTGAGCAGGGAACGAATGCAGAACTTGAAGGATTTCTTCATCTCCATATGCCTCGTCCCCATCGCAGACACAATAGATTCTGATTTTTTATAGAGATAGTACAGAACGACTTAAGATCCACACAAGACCAGAGTGATTCAAAACATCATTCAAAACTAAGTAAACCGTGCATCATGAAATTAGGGTTTACTAGACTCCAGAAATTGAAGTGAAATCTAAAGAAAATAAAGAGGGAAATGTATACCGGCAGAAATTGAAGTGCCTACGGTATCTTCTTCTTGTAGATGCAGATGTCGTGAAGACTCCGAAAGATTGTGAGTGAAATTTAAGAACAAACAAAAGGAAAATAGAAAGAGAGGGAAATTTGAATGCTAGCTATTTTTGGGGGTTTGGAATGAATAATAAGAAATGCTAAAAACATGAGGCTAAGTCAAGAATAAGTATTATATAATGAAATAAGTGAATCTTAAATGAACAAGCGCATCTGGTGTAGTGGTATCATAGTACCCTCCCACGGTACTGACCAGGGTTCGATTCCCTGGATGCGCAATTCACCTCTTTTAGCATTTTTCAATTTTATGATTTAACTCCCACTTCTTAGAGCAACTCCAGCGAGGAGTCCAGCCTCTGTCTTGGGAAAGAAAAAAAAACCCAGTTCCAGCGAGGAGCCCAAATCCGGGTTGGGAGTGGGACCCACAAAGACGAGCTGGGAGTGGGACCCACGAAGACGAGCTGGCTCGAAGGCAGCTCTAGCTCGAGTTCGAGCCCGAGGGGGGGGATGAAGTCAGCGCACGCTGACGTCAGCCCTACGCTCCACCAACAACTAGAAGACATGTGTCGTCGTCTAGGCGCTCCGATCGCCTGCTCTCCTCCAATCCAACAACTAGGCTTTTTTTTGCTATAAAATTATGAAAAAAAATACCAAAAAATTATGGAATTTTTTTCTATAAATACCTACCAATACTCTTCACTTTCAATACTAAATCCTCGTACATTTTCTTCTACTTCTACTATTATTTGGGCTTTTTTTGCTAAAAAAAAATACCAAAAAATTCTTGAATTTTTTTCTATAAATACCTACCAATACTCTTCACTTTCAACACTAAATCCTCATACGTTTTCTTCTACTTCTACTATTATTCACTTTTTACTCAACATTTTATTCACTTTTAAATTGTATTTTTATTTATCATCTTATCCGAAAATTTTATCCGATTGAGATATGAGTTTTATAATAAATATTGACACGTACGAACCCAAAAATCTTATTCGAAAATATTATCCAAATTAATTGTTTAGATAAACAAATTTGTGAAAAACAAAAAAACAAAAAAATGAATAGTATTTGCCCTTTGCCATGGCAACGGGTGGAACCACACATTGCTTTTTACAAGGGCAACTACTATTCACGTGAATAGTAGCTGCCCTAGTTCCCCCCTTGCCATGGCAAAGGGCAAATGGGTGGAGTTTCTCTTATTGAATGGAATATCAATGAACCAAAAGATGTCGGTTGAATCATACAAAGGACAAGCTACCAAAATTGCCACGTAAAAATTGTGGTGGTATCAAATCCCATATAAAGCGTGGGCACTTTTGATAATCATTTCATTTTTTATTTTTTTGGGTACTAGAGTATAGAGGAAAATGAGAGTGAGAATTAGAGGGAGGATGAGATTGAGAAATAGGATGAGAAGGGGGGATGAGAGGGAGGTGTAACAAAAGCGAAAGCAAAATCTTGAAAATGAAAATAGTTTGAAATAAATTTCCGTTTTTAGTTTTTGTTTTCACTTTTGTTACTCCTCTCTCTCATCCTCTCATCTCGTCTTCACTCTCAATCTCGTCTCCACTCTTATTCTCACTTCCATTCTCCCTCTTTTTCCTCTATACTCTAGCACAAAAATGAAAACTAAAAGCTAAAATTGAAATGGTTATCAAACGGACCATAAAATTACATCCTAAAATTAAAATCTTCACTTGGTAATTGCTAAAAGGAGACTTCATACAAAGGAAAGATTATCTCGATTTTCTTGTTTATCTTCTTCTTGTGTTTTTTTGTATTGGATTCATAATCTTCTTCTCATTTATTTTCCATATTATTCTTTTTTCTTTTACAGTGCATTTGGATGAGAGAAATAAACTTGGGATTTGGACAAAAGTCAAAACTTCTAAATTTGACATACAATAATTCCCGTGTTTGGATTAAAAAAAAACATTGAAATTTAGAAATTCCACATGAAAAAAACATGAAATTTGGAGATCATGAATTCCAACATTAAATTCTATCTAAAAAATTGTTATTTCTAAAATTCCAAGAGAGTGAAGTTTTAAAATATTAAATTTCATGTTTAAATCCATTAGCCAAATAAGAAAATTTATAAATTCTAAAACATTAATTTACATCATTTTAAATTCCGTCATTTATAAATTCCTTAGTACTTTTCATCATCCAAACACACAATTAATCTTTGGTATCTTTTGAGGAATTTTATTGAATGTCATGCCCCAATTTGGACCCCAAGTTGTTTCACTAACTGGATTTGGACTTCCAAATTAAAACGTAATAGCACTAAGCTCCATTCACAATGTAATATTATAATGTTTAAATGATACACCATTGTTTGAGCAAATTTCCCCACGGGGAATATTTGTGTGTAGATTCTTCACTCTTTGAGCTTCCTTTTATTTCTTCTTCCTAGATCCTTGAAAAAAAGGTTGGAGTTAATAGACCACACACAGGGGGCGTTGGCCAAAGGGCCTCCGATACCTAAGTCAGTTAAATGTTCTTAAAAAAGATACTGAGATAACATAAATGATGGAGGTCTTCTCTCACGGGGAGAGCCGGGTGGCAGGAGCCGTGAGGGAGAGAGAGAGAGCCAAGAGAGGCGTGAGAGAAGGACAGCTTTGGCTAGGGCTTTAGAATTACCTCTTGTGTGTTGTGTAGCCATGTATTTATAGACTCCTTGTAGGCTAGGGTTTGAAGAATAATCCATATTTGGTTAGGATTATTCTTACACATAAATAGGAGATTGTAATTAATCAAGGATTTCCCTAATTAAATAGAATTTAATTAGGGTAATCAGTTGACCTAAGGAATATTCCTTTTCCACGTGTCACCAATGGCGGATCCACCAATGGGGTCAGACGACCCTATGGCAGCCCTGGAAATGGCTTGGAGGTCCTTGGTTTCTCTTGAGAGCCATGGGAGACGACCCTATAGAGAAGAAGATGCAAGTTGCTAAGGAGGAAGAAGAGAGAGAGAGAGACAGAGAGAGAGAGGAAGGAAGAAGAAAACCAGAGGGAGAAGAAAAGAGAGAGAGGGGTAGGAAGAAGCTGACACAAATTTTAATAAAAAGGAAGATATTTTTTTAGGGTTTTTAAAATATTTTTTAATTTTGTTGGTTACACCTATAAATATTAAAAATACACATCAATAACATAAAGATATCATATACCACAATGGTCTGTGAATTGAAAAGGACTTGAAGGTCAATGGTTCAACACCCATTGTGTTCCCTTATTTTTGTAATATTCAAGGTATTTTGTTATTTGGGTTACATAATACATATATAAGCTTGATTTATTGAATGATGTTTTTATTAATTGGAATAAGTTTGGTGTGTTTTTTATTTTTGCATTGTCTCATCTTAAAAAGAAAATCGGAACTTTTAACACTATGACCCCATAGAGTAACAATCCTAGATCTGCCACTACGTGTTACCCATATGAAATATGTGTTCCCACAACCATAATATCACATTGTTAAATAGAATGTGGGTGTAGAAACCAAAATTTCATCAGTCAAAATTCAAAATTTGACTAGTCAAAGCTAGCTGGAACAGTAGTGGGTCCCACACAAATACATGTGGCACATGACTCATCAAGACGAAGATGGACGTTGGAGATCACACATGCCAACATCTAAGAGATCCATCAATCAAATTAAATCATATGCCAAAAAGGAATAAATTAAATCATATTCCCAAATCATTAGTTAATTTCCCCAAATCATTAGTTAATTTCCGCACGGCTATACTCTTGTTTATTATTATTATTATTTTTAAATATAAAAATGGTTTCTTTACTTTTGTTTTTTGGCCAACTTCTTTATTTTACTATACGTAATCAAGTAATATCTTAGCCTTTTTTAATCACTTTGCTTAGTAATTATATTTTAATTATTATTTAATATAAAAAGATTGAAGAAAAAGAACACAAAGTAATTAATTTCTATTTATTAAGTCTTTTGTGAAATTGTTTGGGTGTCTTCATTCAATTTCTCCATTGCCCAAGAGCCCTATCCGTTTCAATTATGCCATTACTCGAGTATCTATCGTCCCTTTTTTTATTTTTCCAAAGTTACTACCCGTATAAAGATTTTAGCACTTTCACATTTAATAATGTATTATATACGTACGCACGTATTTCTCATGTTTGATACACGTATATTTTGCAAAAATTTCGGTAAGACACAGAAACTTCACGTATTATACATGTATTACTGAATAAAAATGATATATAACGGTATAGCCGCACGGCTGTACTCAGTTTTCCCTAATTGTTTTTCAAAAAATCGTACAGCCGTTCGGCTATAATTCTTTTGCATTAAAAAATAGTATAGCCGGCCGGCTTTACCTCTTTGACACGTGGGCTTAGGCCATGTATATAGTAGTATAGCCAACCGGCGATACTATTTTCTGAATTTTAAAAATGGTATAGCCGTGCGGCTGTACCCGTTTTCCCTTAAAAAATACTAATATTCTGTTCTCTTTTGACACGTGGCACCTAGGGCCTGGGAGCGTCTTTTTTTAAGACGTACATAGTACAGCCGCTCGGCTGTATTAGTTTTTGAAATTTGTTCCTTTACTTTCCTTTTTTGGCCTACTTCTTTAGCCGATTGGCTATACTGCTAAAAAATATTCAAATATTTAATCGTATAGCCGCGCGGCTGTACGGCTTAAACTTATTGGAATATTTAGTCCTATAGCTGGCGGCTATACTGCGCAAAAATATTCTATATTTAAATAGTATAGCCGGTCGGCTATACGATTAAATATGTCCGAATATTTAAACTGTATAGCCAGTCGGCTATACTGCCTAAATATATTCGAGCATTTACAACATAGTATAGCCGCGCGGCTATACGGCTGGCTATACTATTTAAATCTACTAAATATTTTTATTCGAATAATTTAATAGGTGAGCTTTGAAAGGGTTCTTGTTCGTATAAGTCTCTGATGCTACTTCGTCAACTCTCTTCATGTTTTCAATTCTGTTTCCTATGATGCTTCAAGCATGAATGAGCTTAGGAAATGGAATGAACAAAGCTGAGAAGGTAGAAGGGGAAGAAAATCACCATTTGCTTTTTGAAACTGATTTTTCCTTATATATTCTTTTAGAGAGAGAGAGAGAGAGAGAGACCCCTTGCAGGCTTCTCTCTTTATCTCTTCGTGGGGGAAGAATAAAAAAGCCCCAAGGGCGGAAGCTTTTCGTTCTTTATGCATTCTTGGAGAAAAAGTAAAGAAGATAAAAGCCCAACTTTGGAGGCTTAGTTAACGCGGCCAGACTATAATGAGGGGTAAGTTATAAGGGGTAAGTTATAAGGGGTTCACTTTATAGTCATTGGATCAATCGAAGGGCTGGGGAGAATTGGGATAAAGTTGTGCAATCGGGTAGGTGAGGAACCCAAACCCGAATTTAATATCCAGCAATGAAGTTGGTCCCAACAAAAAAAAAGAGAGGCAAGTTCGAAGTTTGAACAGAAAAAACCCATTGATCTCAAACTCATAGCTGAGAGAAACCGCTAAGCTCTGAGAAACGGTTGAAGGCAACGGGCAACGACGGTTGAAGGCAACGGGCAACGACGGTTGAAGGCAAAGGTTAACGACGGTTGAACGCAACTCCACTATCTAAACCGTGAAAAAGTATTTATTTTGAGTGGAAGGAGCAAAGGCGTGGATTCTGAAACAGTGAAGACGAAGCAGTGGAAGGGGAAGGAGAGAAGCCGTATTCGTTGGAAGTGATAGGTTCCATTTGTGGAGCAAAGCCGCACAAAGACCCAACACAGACACCTTGCGATTGTTCAATAACCAGCATTTGGTGAGTAATTTATGGAATTTGAGTTTAGGGTTAGAGTAACCGTTTTCCCCAATTTGTAGCATGAATGTTGTTAGATTTGGCATCTCTTCTTTGTGCTTCACTTGCATGTTAATTTTTGCTTGGGTATATGTTAAAAAACGAATGAATATAAAGTCAATAACATGTCAATAACATGTCAATAATGATATGAATAAGGTAATGGTGTTGAATTGGAGGAGGCCCTCAAAACCTTCCACATTTGAAGCAGTGCAGAGTGCAGATTATCTCTCTGGAGCTAGAATATATATAATTTTTGAAATAAATATTATTTCCGTTGTTACTAAATTTGCCTGTTAAAAATGAGAACAGATAATAATAAACTCATGAATAAAAGTGCAAAGCATTTGAAAAAAGGTTGATCTATGACGATTATGGCTGACTGAAGAAAAAGCTAGAAAGAAAGAAGGATGTGGCAATGGCTTAGCGAGCAGATGCTTTGCTTTGCTTCCTTCCACCATCTTTCTCATTTATTTATTTATTTATTTTGTGTTGTGTATGAAATGACAATAATTGTCATGTGTGTGAAGTGCAGAACTTGCCTAGATTGCACTCACACTCACTCATGCATCAACCATTGATTGGAGTTTGGATCCATAAATAAAACACATGCTAGTGCTTGTAATTCACAGAATCATTGCATTAACAGGTATTTGCACAAAATATGTCATATTGCTTTGATGATGTTAAAGCCTGTGATCAGTAATCCCTATGCGCATGTACTTTGTAAAATTTGTAATGTGCTGGTTGACTAGTTGTGTAAATACCAATGTGATTGTGCAAATACGTGGTAGTATATGTGTTCACGTTATTTCATCTTGTATTTCAGGAAATGGGATCCAACGTTGAGCTGGTATGGCCAGAGTCAGAGGCATATTCCTCACGGGTGAACAACTGCTCACATGCAAATTCATCCCTAGCTGTAATTCGAGCGAAGTTGAGTGCCGAACAATTAGAACAATTCAAGACATCATGCTTTGGCCATCTTCTGAATATAGATAAGATTCAGTTTAGCGGGCAGATTGTGCATGGGGTTGTGTTGCGTAGAGTAGCGGGGCAGGGTGTGAAAGACTTGGATGGACTGAGTTTCTTAATAGGGTGCGACGTTGCTCAGTTCACTCGTCAGGATTTCTGTTTGATCTCAGGGCTTCGTTTTGGGGAAGTGCCTGAAGTTTCCAGTGGAGAAAGTGATGAAATTAGACTTCAGAAAAGATATTTTATAGACGAAGGAATTACATGTAATGCTTTAGAAGAAGCATTTGTGAGGTGCACAGAGGAAGATGACGTCTACAAGCTAGCTCTTGTTTACTTTGCTGAGTTAGTGGTTTTGGGAAGGGACAAACATTTGAACATCAATCTAAATTACCTGACCCTTGTAGAGGACTTGGATGCGTTCAACAGGTTTCCATGGGGTTCGGTGTCGTTTGACAAAACCCAAGACAGTCTGTTTTCTGCACCAACAAAGTATGTGAAAAGCTTTGAAAATGAAGAGGGAAGAGGGAAGGGGAAATGTAAGGTAACCGGAACAAGCCGGAGAAATGAGAAGGGCAAGAAGGATAACCATGGTGAAGTGCAAAGGGGTGGCTGGAGTTTTAAAGGTTTCACGTATGCTTTCCAGGTACATGGTAATAATGTTCATGTCGTTATGTTCTGTTGACTTTAAAACTTAAATAATAACTTGTGTCCTGTGAATTGTGTAGATTTGGGTATATGAATTAATTCCTAGAATGGTGGACCTGAATTACTGCAAGGTTGTTGATCCGACAGCTCTCCCGCGTATTTTGCGATGGAGAACTACTACGTCTGTTCCCGAGATGAGAAAGTTGAACAATTATTTTTTCCAGAGCAAAGAGGTTTGGTTTGCAGCCCTTGGAACTATTTATAAGATTCAATGAAATTATGAAGTAGAATGATTGCATATGACTCTTGTCTGTTTTCTGAAACAGTCAGTTCAGTTGCGGGCGCTATGTCCAAGTGAAGAGGAAATGAGACAACCATATTGGAGTTGGCCACAGGGTCGCCCTGCTGTTGTCTCGGCAGAGTCAATTCCTTCTTCATGTGCTGACCTTGATGAGTTGAACAAGGCGGTAAGCTTGTTGAGGTCCGAGTTGTTTCAAGTAAAGCGGGAAAAGGACGTCCTTGAGTTAAAGGTCATACGGATGGAAAAAAATTTGGGCCACTGTTTAGGTCCTCATTTTGAGCAGGAAGTGAGAAGGGACATAGCTTTACTGAAAGAGAGGACGAATCGTTGTGTCGTGTCACATCTATTTAAGGGATATGAGGAAGTGGATGGCATGCAATGGGATGAAGGGCCAAGTAATAGAAATGAAGGAGAGGCAAATGAAGAGGAGGACATTGAAGGGGGTGAAGGGCCAAATAACAGAAATGAGGGAGAGGACAAGGAAGAGGAGGGGATTGAAAGGGGTGAAGGGGCAAGTAAGACAAATGAGGGAGAGGAAAAGGAAGAGGAGGGGATTGAAGGGGGTGAAGTGCCAAGTAAGAGAAATGAGGGAGAGGAAAAGGAAGAGAAGGGGATTGAAGGAGGCCAAGTGCAAAGAAAACCAAGGGAGGTAGAGGAAGCTCAAAGGAAAAGAAGTGAGGGAGAGCAAGTGAAAATAAAAAGCAGCAAAGGAGAGGAAGCGCAAAGAAAGAGCATTGAGGGAGAGGAAGAACTGCAAAGAAAAAGCAGTGAGGGAGAGGATCCGAAAAAAAAAAAAAAAAAAGGAAAGGAAGTGAAAAGACAGAGAAGTGAGGAAAAGGAAGTGCAAAGAAACCAATGTGAGGAAGAGGATGATGAAGTTATGTTGGTTGGCGATGACATTGGCGAGAGCACGGAGGGGACAAAGGTTGAGGTTACTGTCGGGGACATTGATTTGGATCAACCTAGAGCTGTGTTATCTCAGTTGAACGTTTGGTTGAATGATGAAGGTCAAGGTGTGGAACGAGGGGTCCAATTACGGAAGAGGAAGAGGATTATTCCTATGTGGAAGATCGTTGAAGCTAGTGAAGTGGTTAAAAAAATTTGCCAAAGACAACCGGACTTCGGACGTTAGACCCAATGAAGGCGATTCCGCATGATGATATGGTGAAATTGCTGAAACTTTGTTCGGAATGGCGCCATAACCCAAAGTAAGTCCTTTGTTTTTTGAGATAGAAGGCATGAGTGTATATATTTTGTAATTGTTGTGTTCTAAAACTTTTTTATATTCATAGTTTGGTGATGCAATTTGGCAACGTGGAAGCTGAGATTGAATTCTTCGCTTCCCTCGTCAAAGCTGACGGCTGGCTGAAAGGAGATGTAAGTTTAATTGATTATGCATTTGTTTGAATGTGCATAGATAATGAGATTGACAAGGAAAACATGTGCAGCACATTGATTTGGGCTTGTATCTCATCCGGAAGCGACAACAACAGTTGGAGGAAGTAGAAATATCGGATTGGACAACGACCGATGTATTTTTTATGGTATGTGATGCAGGATGCATAGGACCTAAATTGTTTAGTTTCCTAATTTATTGGTTAGTTTCCTATATTCTTTAGTTTTCCAAATCCTAGTAGGATTTCTAAGTTAGTTTTCCAAATCCTATTAGGATTTCTAAGTTTCCTATTTTATTAGGAATAGGATTTCTGTTTTACCTGGGGATTTTAATTCTATTCTCTCTAGGTTTTAGTTTGCTATAAATACCCCTGTGTAGTTCTTTACAATTCAGATTTGAATATTGATTAAACATTCCTTTAAACTCTCTGATTTCTGCCTGCCTTCTACCTTTTCTTCCCTTCAGCTTTTCTTATCTGTTATGTCTTATTGCTCTAAGTGTTTAAACTAACACACCCAGGGCTGTGCTACATCAGTATGGCATAGGCCTTGACCAAGTGCAGTTAATAATTACAAATTATCCATACTTGCTTTGTGGAGTTGTTTAACCATTGATTGTTTTCTATTTCACAGAATCACATCCATACTTGCTTTGCGGATAATAAAAGGAAAAAAGAGCAAGTTGGGTGAAAAATTAGAACCAGTTTAGTGAACGTTGTAAATGGCAAGGTTCCGGCTTGTGGATTGGATTGGCAGAACACGTATAAGGTGTATGTACCTTGTATGTTGCAAAAATATAAGCATTGGGTGGCTCTAGAGATTGATCTGATTCAGTGTGAAATCAAAGTCTACGATTCAATGGTTTCACTTATTCCAGATCAGAGCTTAAAGGAAGAACTCGGCCCCCTGTCAATTACGATTCCAAATCTTCTGCACACCCTCGACTTTTATGAAGAAGGTGTTTACGCGAACGAGTGCACCCGAGATTGGTGGTGTCCATGGCCAATACATCGTGTGGATGTTCCACAACAGGCTAATCAGTGAGCACAACTTTTTATTTAATTTTATTACTTTAATTTGTCAATTATGTTAGAATGTCATTAGTTGAATTGGTCGAGTTCTTGTTTTGCTTCAGAGGCGATTGTGGTATGTTCGTGTTGAAGTACATTGAGCTGTTGAGTGCTGAGATTTCCTTAGCTACTTGCACCTCGCAGAACATGCCATTTTTTCGGTTGAAGTTGGCTGCAGAAATTGCACGGGGAGATGCTTACATGCCATGATATCGGTTGAACTTGGTTTAGGCACATGATGATGAAATAGGTTTTGGGAATGTCAAATTTCAAAGTCATGTAAATACACAATAGAGACCCATGGGTCCTTTTCGAATTCCACCTCTGCTCCTGAATTCTTCTTCGTCTTTCTCAATCTTAGTGTATTTGTGTACAGAAATTTAGATTTAAGTTACTGGACAATAACAATTAGAACCAAAATAGTGGCAAATATTATAGCGGATGCATGCTTTCATTTTGATTAGTGTGATATTACGCTATGTGTATTCTCATATTGTGCAAAATGTATATGGAGCTGGTTGCAGAGCATAGAAAAATGAAGACTCTGAAATGGAGATGCTGAGGGTTGGAGAGGAGAAAAGTAACTGGATCTGTAAATCTATTGCACGTGGGCAATCTAAATGGATAGGCAGATGCGTTTTTGAAGTTAGACACATGCCATTCCCATACATAGAATGTGCATATGGAGTGTAAAGTTTTTTTTGATGTAATGAAACAAACATCGGTGTAATATTGGCCTAACTCCTTCACGACATTTACCTAACCTCAACCAAACTGCATTGAATTGGGATTTGAAGACTGCATATGTGAATTTGGATTTGAAGAATGCATATTCACATACGGACTGATGGCTTTTAAGTGTATTACATCATTGCAAAGTGATATGTCATCATTTATCCAAGCCACCATTCCAAATATCAGATCCCAATCTTTAAGCCGTTCAACATGCCTTGACTTAATCGCAATGGGTTGCATCTTAAGGTAATTCTGTAAGGGGAATAGGCTGCTATGGCCTCGCCTCCAATATTTTATTCAACCATGCCCTCCTTATAGAAACACATGAAAAAATGTCCCCAGGTGCAATGCTCTAAAAACTCCCTATTGGTTCCGCACTGCCCCTCGGGTTTGAATCCCTCTCTCCTTTATAATCGGTTAATAAATTGGTTGATTTTCTTTATTTTATTGGTTTTGGGCAGCTGAGTAACATAACAGTAATGTATATTGGTGCGTCTATATTGCATGTCTGTTGGGTCTATATTGCTTGTCTATTGCGTGCATATCTTTACATTTATTGCGTCTGTATTGATTTGTATTGCTTACGACGGAAATAATAACAATACACAGGCAACAGACAAGCAATATACACGCAATAGATATGAAATATACACGCAATAGACATGCAATATACATCAGTCCCCAATTACATCAACCATAAGGAAGTCGTATTGAATAGGAAATTCTACTTAAGTTGTTCTTCCTACGAAAACAAAGAATAAGGACCGTTTCCCCCCCTTAAATCTAACTGGAGTCCTACTTTTGCCCCCAATAAACTTGCAATATTGGAGCAATAACATGCGATATACATGCAGTAAACACTCAATCAACTTTCAATAAACCTTCAATATCGGTTCAATAACATGTGAAATACATGCAGTTAACAATCATGAAACCTTCACGAAACATGTAAACAATCAATAAACCTTCAATAAACACTCAATATCGGAGTAATAACATGCGAAATACATGCAGTTAATGAACCTTCAATAAACAGTCAATATCATGCGATTTACATGCAGTAAACAATCAATAAACAATCTATATACACTGAATAATTATGCAATCTTAAAAAAAAGGTATTGTCTTATTATTGCATCGTATTGGCCCTGTATTGTCATTTTATCGTCTTCGTCTGACTTTATTTTTGTAAAGTAACTGTAGGAAAGTTTTTACTGGGTTTCTGACAAGTAAATGCTTTTGTTTCAAACAATAATTTAAACTCAATGCTAATCCACCTATTTCAATAACAAAAATTACAAATTGGGTTTGAAAAGTCATTGGTGGTGCGTGCAACATGTGTTTTTGGGGAGAACTTTTACAATCCTTGAAACCGTGCACTTAATTGGTCATTAAAAGAACAAATAATATGACAATTGATACAACTAATAAAACTAATACCAAGTCCTTAATGGACTTCAGCATATTAAGCACTGTAGCATCATACGTGTCAGCTTGCTGATCTGCTTCAGCGGAGGTTACATCAACCCATTCGAATCCATTGCAACTGGTGGCTCCCTAATTGCAGGCATCATATATGCAAAATAATTCTGTCAGAGTTAGACCTAGGATTTTTTTTCACCCACATACATATTCTGGAAATGAGAACTTACATAGGAGGTTAGACACTTCCAAAATGCCTTCCCGCGATTTTATCTGATTTTGAAACCCGAAGCACCATTGCAGCTCCACAATACTGACACCTCTTTGTTTGAGCGGGAGATGAAGACGAAGACATGTTGAATCTTATCACTTGTACCTCTTCTCACTCAGATCTTCTCACTAAAACCTCTTCGGACTCATACCTTCTGAGTTATACCCCTTCACTCATAAGTCATAACCCTAAACTTCTCACTCAGCTCTCTCTCATCTCTGCCCAAATCGAATTATATCCTTCTTTTCTGTGTGTGGGTGGGTTGGTCACGATCTGGACACCTGTACCGTCAGAATTGTGACACATTTTACTCCGATAAGCGATATACTATTTCACAAACAATAATTAATCTTACAATTGAGGGGACACTGCTTTAAATATATTATTTTCTTTATATTGCATTAAGGCAACTAGTTGGATAAGAATCCGTCATTTAATAGGGGTAGTGTGGTGTGGGAAAATGAAAAAGTATCTGATGGGACCTTCTGTCACTAGTCAGTAATCCATCACATTTGTATCAATGAATTTAATGGCGGGAAAAGCCTAACAATGGCTATGGAAATAGGTTATTAATTGACTTTTGGACGGTCTGACTCCCTTTGCATTTTGATGACGTTTTCCCTTCGCCTGTCTTATGTTTTGGGTGTTGAGTTCAGTTTCTTTAAAAAGTGTCAACTTGGTAAAACCCCAAGGAAACACCTTTTCAGAACAGTGCAACCAGAGGCTAAAACAAACCCAAAACCCCGTATATTCTCATTTCTCCCCTCTTGCAGTCCTCAAATCGTTCCATTCCAAAAATATTTCAATGAATTCCAAACATTACACTACAGTCGGAGGAAAGAGAAGGAAGCATCGCGATCCGGATGTGCCTCAAGCCTTCATCCCGGAATTAGCTTGGTTTAAAGTGATGTTATACGTGGCAACCAACTCATCGGAAGATCTCTTTCGTATGGCATGTGTGTGCCGATTGTTCAATACGTTGGCAAACACTCCACAAGTGTGGAACACAATTTCAATGGAAAAGTACCGAGACCATCCTAACTGGTACTATGCCGCAGCGCAGGTCCGGCATTTCGTGGACCAATGCAGGGCTTGCCAGAACCCTGAGGCGATATTTAGAGAAGCGTTCGACATGTTTTTCAGGCAGGGTAATGTGGAAGCATTGTCTGGGATGCGCGTTGCAGCCACGGCAGGCCATATGGAAGCGTCATATCTAGTTGGACTACTTGGCATGTCCGGAATTGGTCAGTCAAAAGAGGATGCATTGGAATTCTTGTGTTCTTTGAATCAACGTAACAACATTGATATGAAAGGAACCAGGGATGCTTTGAGACGACGATTAAGCGGAATTTTCTCTGTTGGAAGACATATCGTAGATATGTTTCACTATGGGAAGATTAAGTTCAATCAGTGCAGCGCTTGTAACAACAACGACTGGTGTTTTGTTATTCCAGGCTGGCCTAGTGAAGAAAAGATCAATCCTGCCTTCTGGACTTGTTGCAATCGATGCAAATGGCACCGTGAGAGTGTTTTTTGGTTCAAGGTGATGCGTGTCTATGTTGTGCCAGGGAATCCATACCCTTATAATTAGTTGGAGTATGTTTCTACGGTTTTTATGCGTGTCTATGTTCTACACATGTTGTTTTCTATTTCATGTTTTAATCTATTTTGTCTGGTGTTTGTGCTGTCCTAGCCCGTTTTATATATAAATGTATAATATTTGCTATATAGTGGATTATTACTGACATAATTGACGGCTAAGAATGACATTTTACTGACACAGATATTTTGCACAACTGCAATCTTAATATTTGGTAAACGAAAACGCATGCATGAAGTGAGTATGTGTCTTTTCACCGGTTCTTGGGAATGACATTTTCCCACTTAGCATATCCCAAATGATTGGGTTACACGTTTCTTAAGCAAAACTTGAACAGTTAAAGACTTTGAATAATTATTTCCTGATGTTGTAGAATGGATGGCTTGTATATTTCCATTTTATGTTTGAAAACATCCCTTACACCTAAAAAAGAAAAACATTAACAAATTGAAGAAGAGAGAAACTGATTAGCACCAGAAATGGTCTATTCACACGGAAAATAAAAATAAAATTACAAATTTGGAGTAAATATAATTAACAAATGTACAAGCTAACAAGTAATATAACAATAATAATAAAAATAATTTTGGATAAATAATAATAAAATACTAATGTAGCGTAACCATGAAACAGGGAATTGAGGAGGAAGATGAAGTGTGAATGAGGTTGTAGCAATTTTCGGAACATTATTGTGATTTTTGTGTATTTAGTTATGAATTTTCTAAGAAAAAGTCATAAAATAATAATTTAGGGTAAAGGTAAGGATGTGGCCATGTTGACTGATGCACACTTGTCAAGGGGTGAAAGGTGAGGGGCTGAGATCGCGCCAGGTGTCCATGTGGCAATTATTTTGGCTTTTTTTGTGCAAAAATCTTTGAAAAAATGCAATAAATAGTAGAAAAATCCTAAAAATGCCCCGAAAAATACTCCGGCCTCCGTGTGACGTTATAAAACGAGGGGAACCCATAGATCATCCATTTCGCAATTAAAAATTCAAAAATGATTTACATAACTCACTTTCCTCTTAACCCTAAGTATATATGTTGTTCACTTTAACAAGTATATTTCCTACTTCAACAAGCATCTCCCGTTAATGTTTGGAATTGTTTTTTAGAATGCGTAACCACTAATCGGGGAATTCAGCAAGGGAGATGGAGTGTCAATGAGGTCGTAGCAATTTTC